ACTATTTCCTTTAAGGCTCCAGCATATATCTATATTCATTTTATTCATCTCATCTCTTAATTTATGAAAATAATATTGCAAATATTATTTCACACCAAATATTGTTTATGTATTAGATGCATGCTAGCATGTAAACTTAAAAATGCAGACAAGGAGAGTTTTTGCACAATTTGTATATGATGCCTACTTGTATAAAGCTTAGCAAGTTTGTATTATGCTCTCCCTTTTTATAATTGAGAATGTCTAAAATGTTAGCCAGAGCTGTATTGAAGACATCAATAGAAACAATAAATAATTGCATTCTATTCATATGTCTACAACATGGAAAAGATATCCTTCATCAGCCCTGCTTTTACTGGATTTCACAGGTTTAAGAAAGATATAATGGTTTGATCTGATTGCCTCTAGCAGATCAATGTTCTACCTTTCAACTTATAACTTCCACATTATCTTGAAAACTGAAATATTGGTCATTAAAAGGTAGGCAGTCATTTCAATATTTGTCAAGATATGATACAACTGTAGTGCTGTTGATACAAATATGCAACAGCAGAAATTTTAGGTTGTATGTTAGGTTAGGTTGTAGGTTTGTAGGTTTTAGGTTGTAGGTTGGTAGGTTTGCAGCTTGTAGGTTGTCAGGTTGTAGGTTAGGTTTGTGGGTTGTAGGTAAGTAGGTAAGGTTAAGACAGGTTGGATGATGTTTTTGTTATTTGTGAGACATGTAAGCATCAATTTGGATTCAGGGTGTCAAATGTTGTAAGAATATGAAAAAATTATCATTGAAATCCTCTTAGGACTTTATCTTGACATTTACCATCTTTTCCAAGGACTTATATTTGGAGCATGTTCTTGGAGCATCAAAATATGCTTTGGAGCATGTTTTGAACATTAAAAAAAGACAGGAGCAGCCTGTCTGGATATTTTGTACAAATGCTCCTGAAACAGGCTTATAAGTGTGCTGTATTGTATTATACTTTAAACTTTTTACAAAAAAAAAAAGAAACTGGCAATTTGACACTGTTGCACGCATGCACATTACTGAGATTGCACTCACTTTATAAGTGTTGCTTTTCATATTTGAGCCAAATATTCCTCCATTTTTCAACCACAAACATACATGATTGCATCAAACTACGCAAATATTTTATTAGTAAAAGTTGCCGAAAAGTTGTGATGGGACTACAAGATACAGGAAGCCTGTTTTAACTTACAAAGGGACACAAATTGAAGAATCTAGAAAAGATGAAAATTTCTAGAATATTTAGCTTATAACAGTGCTACCGGATTAGGAGGACGCATCAATATTCTTTGAAGGTAATTCATCAGCTTCGCTTATACGTTCCGCGCATCATTCGCCGCAGTGACCGTAAAATGGGCGTATCCAAAGACGAACAATAAGTGGTATAGAAAATGTCGCATGAAAACATTCTTACCATAACAGTCCAAAAATATGGATGATTGTAAAGAACCTTGCACCGATTAAATAAATTTAATTGATAAAAATGGCGAGCGCCTCAACTCAACAGAAAATCAGTGAGCACACTGCGCATGCGCATCATTTATGACGTCAACAAATGAGTGAAAGCTTGAAGCGATTAAAATACTGCAAAAAGTAGTTCTGCAAAAGTTAACTTTTACATTTATTTCGTAATTTCAGTACCAACCGTATCGACCCAATCTTTCCGTCAAAAAGTACATTCAATGATGCCAACGGATGATTCTTCTGTCTTTTGAAGTTATGATATCATTCAAGATGCTCGGTGCGAAGGAAGTTGAAAGACAATTTGCCTAAATCGCTGGCAAGCGCTTTTTCGCTTGCATTCTATCTTCATAAGCATAAATGGATGAAAAAATAAGCGAATACTCATTAAACGTGATTTAATTTATTGATTGCATTAGATATTTCTAATAAGGGACAAACAAAAGCAGCTAACTTTGATAAAATAAAGTACCGCAAACAGCAAACATGGGTAAGTGAGCAGGTGTGTTCATTGCTTGAACGCAAGTCCTGCTTATGGAAGGATAAACAGCTTGAACTTCCAAATTTTTCCATGGTTTACTCAAAAATTTCTGACTTCATCATTAAAATTACACACATCTTTAATACTAAGTCCGACTTGAGACATTTAAGAATTTTTTTTTTAAACTATTGTTTGATTTTTTGTAGCTGCTTGCGGTTGACCCTCACAAACAAAACACCCGATAATAAAAGCTTATGGTCAACGCAAGGTCAAGGTCATTTCAATTTTGGCTCGTGGTTGAGGAGGTTGGTGGACGGTGTGGGTTATTTTCGGTTTAAAGGGACCCTCCCACCTTAACATTAGTTTTGAGTTGAGATAGCCAAGTTTGCGGCCAGGCTCAGAAACCACCATTTATCCTGGTCGCAACCCCCGCAGCTTTATGGTGTTCAAGAAATTTCTTCCCTTTACTTGCAGGGTGGGACCAGCGTGGTCCCTATCTCTTAAAGGGACACTCCCACCTTAACATTAGTTTTGAGTTGAGATAGCCAAATTGGTGGCCATGGCCTGCAAATACCGGTTTGGGCACTCACAACATCGACAAATGCTTTAATTCGGAGATATGGAATTTCAAACTTGCAGTTTTCGGATTCTAAGGGGCTAGTGCATTGGTATGCCCCCTTAGAATTTGTGACGTCAGCGGAGATCTAACGATTTTTAAATCTTTTACTAAAACGTTTGGTAGCACGCGGTGGTATATGCGACCCCCACCGGACACGATTTGGTAGCCGAGGTCTGTGACGTCAGCCGGGCGTGAAGTTTTCCCTTCACCATAGGCCTCACACACAAACCGGCCGAAGTTCATGCCAGGATAGCCCGGCTTGAAAGTGCAAAAATGATTAAATTTTGCCCTCAATAGATTCATTGCTTCATTTTATAACTAAAAACGTCCGTTATTAGGACTCAATGAAGGTAAAAAGTACTCAAAATCGAAGTTCAAGAAGATGCTGTCCGAGCACAATCTGGTAACATCACGTGACCTCTTTTAAGCAAAATGTATATAATTTAAGGATGTTATTACACGATTGCTGCCTAAAACATCATAAATAATACGCTTGTAACATTTATTGCTTCTGTTTAAGTCATAACATTGCAAAACGCAAAGTTTTTCATGGAAGTCACGTGACCAAAGGTATAGCAGGGGTTGGGACAAGCACTCAAAGGATTTCAAGTTTTTTAATTAAATTATATAAGTTTCATGATGAAATTGATAGAATGTATTTTTTCCGAATGAAATACAAATTTTCGTATGTAAAATATTATTCTTATGGGCGAAATTCTCCATATAAGAAATGTCAGTGACGTCACCAGGGCTTTACGTGGGCTTTACTCAAAACATCGGACCTACCTGTTTCTTATAGGTATCTTGGGTATATGCTGCTTTGCGCGCAACAAATGCCGCACTTTCAAATAAAGTCGCTAGGAACAGCGGAGATCCCAAAAAGTAAACAAAAGTAAAAGTCTAATATCTTGAAAACCGTTGAATATTTTTCGATGAAATTTGGTAGATATTCGTTTTTGCTCTTTCTGAACCGAGCGACATCACTTTCATGCCAATTCATTAACTTTTTTGAAGGTGGGAGGGTCCCTTTAAGGAAAAATTTTGAGGTCGTAACCGTCGTAACAAAGACGACACTACTTCGTAAAAACATTGATATTGGTCTCAACATGGTTATTCAAAAATAGTCAGGAAGGAGTAGTCTTTTAGGGTCACCGGAGGTCAGGACGAATTCGAACACGTGGCTAGGTACCTACATATTGACCAGGGCCCTGTTCGGTCGCTGTTTTTATATCACCGTGCTGTCGGTTTTCCCCATATATTCTTGCTGATGCGGCTTGGCCTCTCATTGGTCTAACGAATAGACCACTTGAATTCGAGCAATGAGGAGCCAAGAAGCAGCAGCATGGTCGCAGCCTGCTGATAAATATGCATCAAAAATGTCAGTGTGCGTCCTGGTGCGTCCACCGTAACTTTGCATGTGCCGAAATCAGCTCACGGTGGTGGCTGATTTTTTTTTGGCGCAGGGCAGCTTCAGAATTAAATTCAGTTGTCTATGCAGCACACTGATCAATCTAGCAGCAGATTTGCCTTGTTGGCGGCCCTGCAGAAGTTTCGGGACAAGACGTCCCTGCCTCGGTCATCACGTGCTCAAACTGGCGAGCCACCCCGAGTCTACTCAGTGGACGAGCGGCCGCCCAGATGAGGCCTCAACCCTTGGTGTGGAGATAGGTATGGAAGACCTTGTTGAACATCGCCGAGCATCATTATGGAATACTGCAGTGGGTTCCTGCCCACTGCTGTATCGAGGGGAATGAGAGAGCGGACGACCTGGCAAAACAAGCGGCCGCCCTGCCCTGAAACGCCCGCATGCTGACCAGGGCAGTTCATTGTGCGGCCTCGCATCGATGGCACGGCAGCTGGTCCGAGTCACTATTCAGGCCAGCCCTCGGGAGTAGCCGCCACTCCCTATTCCCGGAGAGGACTGAGAGGGCGCAGTTTCGGTGCGTCAGATGAGGGCGGGCCACTGGGGCTGCTTGCTCCAGTATGTGCACCGAATCGGCCATCTCCCCTCCCCGGCGTGCCAGTAGTGCTCGGACAAGCGGTGCCCGGGAGAGGCTGATGTGCCGGAGCACGTGCTGCTCCGCTGCCCGGCCCTCGCTGGCGCCCGTCAGCCTCGAACACATTGCTCCGCAGATTTTTGTAGCCCCCAAACTCTGACCCGTGCCTTGTTTCACGGCACGACGATACAGTGCGCTACGCGTATTGTGTTATTGAATCGACTAATTCGGACGCTCAAACATTGGAGAGCGTTCAATGCCCCGGACGCTCTGTCTGCAGTTCATATAGCCTTGTTCGGTAGTTGTGCACATGTGCTAACAAAAATACGTGGGTCATTTTAGGTAAGGTCAAAGGTCAGGTCACCACAGTTCAGCAAAGGTAAAATATTGCCTATTTCAACATTTTTCGACAAACCGGCGCATAACTCGGGAACCAATGCAGCTACAGGCTACAGCGTCGCGGTAAAACGCATTTGATAGCTATTTTAACGCTCTTTCTGCGTACTGTCCTCAGATTTCAGCTATGATCAACGGTTTAGCCCCCAGAGAGCAAGAACTCTGAAAATAGCTGTTTTTTACGATCACGTCGAATGACCATGGACTTTGAACAAGTCTTTTTGAAAATTTGACCAAAGGTCAAGCTCATCTAAGCTGTTTCATCGCTCTAGCATGCCCCCATCAAAAGTTATCATCGAAAGACCGCAGGGAACATAGACCGATGGTAGGACCACGAGCCGATGCCGGTGGAATAATCCTATGGTGATCCTATCAGAAAATTGCATCAGTGGGAGCTGTCTATAGCCCCCACTGGTGCAACTTTCTGATTCATTGTGTCGAGACTGCCTGTAACCCGATGTTTGAGAGTGTTTAGAATGATGCTCGTCCGAAAGACACGCCTTTCGATTTTCTCCTGTTGACTTAAAATGGATTGGGCACAAATTTGACCTGACCTTACGTCACTCATCGAAATTCCGAGATGTAGATTTTGTGCATACTGTTACTCTTATCAATGGCTGAAAGTTTCAAGGCGATCATTCTGTTGGTGTGGCTATGACGACTTGACGAGCATTCTAATTTTTTTTTCTGAGGTGAGCTGAGGTCACTTGCTGTGGTGCTGGTGACCTGATCTTAGTGACCCAGGTCTGCGACGCTATTTTTTAGATATCTGAAAAACCGCAGGGGGTGTCCGAAAGTCCGACCCCCCCCCCCCCCCTCCCCCGGCGCGGCTTCGGACGCGGTTTAAGTATAGCAGGGCAGGACCTCGATCTTTGAGACCATATCAGTCCCGTTTCATCTTAATCCATATAAACGGGATTCATTGCATTCTTCCATGAAAGCCTGACTTCAAATAAAATAAAAATGGAATGTATGTATTAGCTGTATCTCATTTTCTGTAATTTGTTTGTTTGACGACAGCAACCATGCTTCCACGCGAGCTGGTGGAGCAGATCCTGTCCTACTGCGATGGATACACTCTGTATAGGGCAAGGGGAGTCTGCAAACTTTGGAAACAGAGTGCCGACTATCTCATCCAAAAGGTAAGCATGTGTTTGTGTGTTTTGACTATCTTACTCTACCTTACCTTTTCAATATAGGAGATAAAGTATCTTGGGTTCCTGTTCTTGTCAAGCCTTCATGTCAAATGATGTGTGGTCATTACTTTGGGAGGAATGTGGGAGATGTGTATCCTTAGTCTCCGGGTTCATCGCATTTACAATATTATTTATTCCTGTCCTGTCAGTGGCAGTGCAGTTATAGTATTACAGGCCACATTGTTAGGCGCTGCGCTGCAGGCTGCTGCATTGAGATAGTTAGGAGGTTAGACCTTGTCCAGCACCCTGATCCAGCTATTATTGACCCGTAAAGTTTGTCACAAGTTGAAATTTTCGATCGGGTTGTTGAGATCATGCTTGAACGAACGCAAGAACCTTCGCAGAGTTAGGCTATAGACACGGAAATTGGCCATTCAGAGCATTATAACTAGATTTCTTTTGGAAAAAGTCATAAAAATGTTTGAATTGTAGCCAAAGTCCATCTGACCTCCCCCCCCCCCCGTTTTGCAGAACCAGCTATGGGTGTGCTGTCAGCGCGAGATGGGCGCCGCCACGCTGGACGCCATGGCGGCCTCGGACTGCGACTGTGACGCCCAGTACCGGGCCTGGTACCGCCACTCGCTGCTGGGTGGATGGCCCGTGGTGCAGATGCCGCCACTGGCTCTCCCCGAGGAGGGAGTGCTCGCCGTCGCCTGTATCGACGGTAGGACCACGAGACTAGCCGGTGAAATAATCCTATGGTATCTGCAGGCTGTTTGAAAATTGACGAACACTATTCGTTAGCATTGTGTTTTTCAGTTAAAAAAGACGGAGCAGCTCTCGCTGGGACAGATAGATCGTGTATTATGATTATAAACGGTAGATCATGCTAGCCGCTTAGATTGCTGAGACGAATGTGGGGTGTCATTTTTTCGCCGTCCAGTGTGTTTTAATTTCGGTATGTTGTGAGCGAACAGGTTCATGGGACAAACGATAAGTGCCTGACTGCCTCTGTGATCATAAGTATTCGAGGCTTGTTTTCAGGTTCATGAAGCAATGAATTTATTATATGCGTTTTTTCTAAATCTAGATGGATGGTGTGTAATTTTCCGTCAGTCTTGTCAATGCTCTTCCAACTATCTTGTGCAGTTCCCTACCATCAGCCCATCGTGTCGCTATCGAGACTACCACCTCAGCTCGTCTGCGTCCCCGACAGGTGACTGCATGGTGATGGCGGCCACCGCTGACGGCGTGGGTCTGTTCGACCTCTTCGGACATCTGGCGTACATGCTGCCCCACTGTACAAGCAGCTTTCCGATCCGTCAGTTGGAGATCACCCGGCCGCTCCGTGAGTGCTTAGGGAGCAGGGGATCGTCAGTGCTAGATTATTTGTGGGCTGGGAGGGGGAGGGTAAGGGCTGGCCGGCCGGACGTGTGACCGTTTTGAACAAGTGCGGTTCGACTCCAACGCCCTAGGTTTAGAGTGATGGGATGTGACGTTACAATTTTCTATCATATTTGTGACATAGCAGTTGACAGAATGACGTCTGTAATAATCGACAGAGCTACTGCGATTGAATTGTCTGAACCGCAAACTTTGGGCTATTTGCCGTGATGCTCAGGATCTGAGGGAACGACTCGTTTGCGTTTCGTTAGATCTCCGTCATTGCTTGTGGCAGCTCCTGTCCCCATGGCGCTGCGACGGACTGAAAGTACCGTTTACCGTTTCGGTAATCCCATGAACTGTACAATAGCCCACATGTGCCTGTCTGGTCTGACTGTGTCTGTCGCCGTCCGACAGCGGGTCTGGACGACCGTCGGATGCTGGTGATCGCGTACAGTAACAACATTGTGCGCGTGTGCGGCCTGTGGCACGACGACGTGCGTAGCTCCATGTCACCACTGGTGCCGCTGATGACCCGCGAGGGACACGACATCACTGTCAAGTGAGTGCGCTTCGTTTGCTAGCACTGGGAATGTGACGACTGGGGATTGAGGGAATAGTATCTGATCTAACGTGAAGGTCTTACGGAAAGGGAAGGGGTAGTATGCGGCCTAATTACGAGCGAGCGAGCGCAGCGAGCGAAGTGAGTCTTTTCAATATAACGGAAAAATCTCAGTATGAGCGGCCCGGCCCGGCCCGGCCTGTAACGCTTTTGAGAGGCTTATATCTCAGCAACCGCTGGACCGATTGGCCTGCGGTCTTTTTTGTTGGGTAGCCCCATCCCTTCTACCCCGTAATTGACTACTTTTGATACATCTCAGTGACCGCCGTGGCACGTGCCACGTGAAAAGTCAAGGGTGTTCAAGCAGTTTTGCAAAAGTAATGATTTTGAGAGGCCCATATCTCAGCAGCGGCTTGAGCGATTGTCTTGCGGTCATTTTTATAGGGTAGCTGCATCCCTTCTACCAAAGGTCGGATACTCTTCATCTATGTGAGTGACCCCCACTGCACGTGCAAAATACAACAATAAGAGGTGCCAAATTTGTTCCCATTTCAGTAGCTCGGTAATTACTGGGGCGATTTCGCTGAAACTTGGCATACAGGTAGGCACCCACCAGGCAATGCATTCCCAAGTGTTGCGGTTAGGGTGCTACTGCACGTGCGCACGTGCAGGGGGCGTTTCCAGGGCGTTTCCAGGGCGTTTCCGATTGCGCTCAAATTTGGTACACGGTTGGGGACCAGTTAGTAGGGTGCCGTGCAAAAGTCATTTTGGACTCCGTTTGCACGTGCGCACGTGCAGAATGCCGCTTCCAGATCTCAGGAACGGCTGGGCCGATTGCGTTCAAATTTGGCACACCGCTAGCGACCGGTTAGAAGGATGCTTTGCACAAGCCCGTTGGAAGCACCCTCTCGCCCTTCCGCACGTGCAGGGCTCACTATCTCGCTCGCTCGTTCTTCGCCCAAAAGGCGTTTTACTGGTATTATATATTTGCGGTCTTATGTAGTTATGTACCCATACTTATCTTGATGTCCTCTCTCGTAACCGCCTTTGAGAGTTCGCCAAGTTTGCATTTATTTTACTCGATCTCACCTGACTAGCTATGTGTCTCTGGACTCTGACTACTCTACCTTTGTCTTGCATTCCTGTGACCACTTGACGAGTGACCCGTTACCCTCGCCAGTGCCTCCGAGGACCTGGTGTGCGTCTCATATCCGAACGAGGCCTGGCTGTACCGTGTTCGCGTCGGTCGGCTGACTGTGCGCGTGGACATCCTGTGTGTTGTGGAGCTGAGCTCGAGCGGCGGCCTGGCCACTACTGCACGCTGCTGCGGACTGCGGGTAAGAACTGAGCGGGCACTCGCACTGGTCTGTCTGGGCGACGCTCTGTGCCAGGGAGGTGGAACATTACATGGCTGGCCTCTGTACAAATAGCACCGGGGGACTGCAGGAGTGGTATTACCTGTCAATCTCCGTTTTTTTTGCCCAAGTCTCAAGGTCTCTTCAAGAGAATGGTGGATCACGTATTTTCTAGGCGCAACTTAGTGACAAGCAATTGCCTATCGGTATCTAGCTTCATTTAGGTGGTTCTACTTAAATTGGACTCTCATTAGTTATCTCCCATGGACACTATCTATTTACGATGATCTTTTGTGCTTCCACACCTGCCAGTCTTGCTCTGTGCAGAGCAAGGAGTCATTTTACGCTAACCCGTGACACTCTCATCCTTACGACACAAACCCGTGTCGCTTTAACACCGTTCGCCCCTCCTCCGCCGGCAGATGGCGTACATGACAATACGCGCCGGCGCCCTGGTCTGGTGTGACGCGACTGAACACTCGATGGCCGCAATGCTCGGCTCGCTGCCCTACCCTGCCAGGGTGCTCACGCCGCGCCGCATTAGGCAGGCCGATCCTCCCGCCGACGGCGACTCAGAGTTCCGGCCCATCCGACCGGAGGACATACGCGACCTGCACTTCAACGCCGGCAACTTCGTGGCCTCGCTCGGAACAGGTGTGGTGCGGGGACCGGGGCGGCGCTGGGGTAGAAGCTCGGATCTTATTTGTGTGTGCACACTGCACACAATGATGGTGGCGTTACCGACGATGGTTTGTCGTTAATTTCGGTCTTGTAAAATGTAAATGGTACCTCGCCTCGAAAGTGCAGCTGCCTTGTGGTCAGATGGTGGTCATGTCCTTCGTCTCCAGCGGTGTATGTCATTGAAGTGTGTCGGGTCAGTCTGTCTGACCTTAACCCTCGCCCGTATAGGGGGGGGGGGGGTCGAACGGACCCCCCCCCCCATGGTTTTTCGCGAATAACTCGCGTAAAAAGCGGCCGATCGCAACGAAACTTTCAGTACCCTCGCGTTGATCAATTTTACACCCACCCTGAAAATTTCATGACCCTGACCCCAATGACCTTTGACCTGTGACCTACTTTTCGAGACCATGTTTGGCCGGAATCGCGATTCGGCGTATGTCGGCTCGCATTAGCCGCGCGTTTGCAGTCTTTTCGTGGTTTCAAGCGTTCAAACATGTGATATGATGTTGCCCCCATGCATTAGGGTGGGTGTCAAGGTCATCTGAAGGTCAGGTCAGGTCATTGACCTTTGGTGACCTCGGTTCACTTTTTCGAGTTTTACATGTTTCTGGGCCAGTTTTTTTAGCTGAATTCGAATTTAGTAACCATATGAACGTTTACGAAGTAGTTTTGGTACCTTCGTAACATGTTACGAAGCTGTCAGAGGCGGTTGACACCTACTAGGAATACCCGGCAGGACCCCTACTGGTTGACCTGACCTGACCTGACCCGACCTGGACTAAATGCATAAAGACATCATCTGTGATCAAAACTAACATGATATTCGTGATCGGCGCCCCGAAAACCCCCATAGCAGCCACACTTTACGACGTTTTAACAGGTCCCGATTTTCCCGACTTTTGGGTCATTGACCTGACCTGCAAGGTCAACCAATGACCTAGGACCTTAAAATTAGGTATCATCGGCTTCCTCTCGTGACGGGCAACACGCTCGTTTTTTCCGCGAAGCTCTAGCTCGATCAGGGGCGAAACGGCAAGGGGGGGTCCAACGGACCCCCCCCCCCCTTATACGTTCGCGGCTGGAAAAACACCAATACGGGCGAGGGTTAAGCTGTTAGTCTCCAGGATTTTGGCGGGCCACCCCCGAGTCCTTTTCCGCCACGTTGCTAGTACGTCTGACCCCGTATGTTCCGTTCTCAGAGGTGGTGGTGGGCCACGCGGAGCTCGGCTCCCGCACGCTGGACGCGTTCATGGCACTGCGGTCCCGCGTGTCCGCCTGCCTGCTGCACGGCCGACTGATGGTGCTCGGAACAGAGAACGGTGAGAGGCGAGGGAGGATAGGAAAGAAGAGCGAGGGCTGCGGGGAAGGAAAATTTAACGAGCTTCTAATATGTGTGTGGTGTAATGGCAGTTATCTGTTTTCATCCTCCCACTTGTTTTGCTACATAACAGTGTAATTGAGAGGAACAGTGGCTCAGCAGCCGTCATAAGCACAAATCTCAACACCGCTACTTCGCACAGGTGTTGTCCAATACTCCCTCTGAATCTGACCTGTGCCTCTTTTCGCCCGTGTCAGGCACACTGGCGGTGTATTTCGTGCCCGACGAGCGCGCGCTGCTATCTGTCGACCTGGCCTGCCCGGCTGGCCGTCTCCAGCTCACTACCGAGCCACTACTGCGACTGCGAGTGATCGACCAGGCCGAGACAGTGCGTGTGTTCGCCCACGACGCGGCCGGCTGCCTGCACCACTGCTACTGGCGTCGGCCCGGCGCCGGTTACCGGCCCAGCCACGACCCGGCCGAGCCGCTGCTCACGCGCTGGATCAACGTGCCGCGGGAGACGGCCGGCGGCCGCTGGTAGGCCGACACCGGACCGATGGGAAGCTGAGGTCAGGTGGGTGGGTCGGCCCGGCCGATCTGTAGGACCGATCGTGGTGTGAGGGACAGTGTGAGCCTTCAGCGGGCACACGCCTGCTGCTGTGACCCCGCTCAGGGCCGCCTCGGGTACCCCGGCTGTGTGAAGGCGTCCTATGATAGCTGTGAACTAGGGCGCCGCTTTAGAAAGTTCTGTCATGGTACCCCGGCTGTGTGAAGGCATACTATGATAGCTGTGAACTAGGGCGCCGCTTTAGAAAGTCCTGTCATGGTAGCCAGGGAAGAGTACCGCTGCCTCATCCACACGGTTTTCAGATCATTGTGTCCGATAAGCGGCAGACACGCTATAACGCCTCTCAGTTTCTATGAGATCACTCAAGAGCTAGCTCGTGCTTTCAAATGTGCCAGTTTTATACGCGAATCAACCAGCCCTTCACGTGGGTGGGATATGTACAAAGGAAGTCTTTTCAGCAATCCCGCTGTGCTAGGTTTTGAGCGCAGCGTATGTGTAGTTTGTGGACGGTACATTTCCAACAATTGGTGCCGTTTTGTGGTAGGAAGGAGGGGAGGGGAGAGGGGCAGTAGCTTGGAGTTGTTGCGACATCGCTATATGATGCCAGTTCTAACTTTCAGCTCTGGTGCAAATCATGTAACCTCGATCTCTATTCAGTTCAGTGCCAGATAATTTCAAAACATAAGTTTGTTTACTGGTCGGTATAATTATCGATTTGTGTTTTACCGCTCTTTTTTTTTATAAAAATCGCTCCCTTTTTTAAGTTTTAAAGCTCTCAAAACACACTAGGGCGTGCCTAACGCAATGCTTTACCGATAAGCCGGGCTGCTGCCTCAGATGCGTGAATAAAGTAATGCGCATTGAAGATATGCCGTACCATTGTAATACACATTCGCTTTGCTCATTTATCTAGGCTGTATGTTATATAGTTTTATTTTGATAATGGCTGTTTTCTCCTCACACTTAACATTACCTCTGATAGAATGTTTTCGTTGAAGGTTCCGTGGTTAAGAAGCTTGCAACATGGTTGCGAGTGTATCAGAACTTGTCTCGTGGAATACAACTGACAATAGTACATTCCTTGTTTTGTCGCTGCCGCCCGACCAAAATTAAATGTTCCTGTTTTGTACTTTATGTACTTATCTCAATCTTTGGCTTCATTGTTGCAGCTGGGCGTCTAGAAAAAAACGGTAGTGAGCATTGCAAAAAACCGGTGGGTAGTGGTCGTCTAAGGGTGGATACAGCTGTGAAATTTCGGCGCAGGTGAATACCTTCTAGTTACTGGCTCCTGAATGTGTTTGCGACTTATATCTAGTTATGTGAGTTTTTTATCGAAGAAAATATTTATATCCATAGTACAGTCCACAGCAAAAGTAATGTGCGGTTTCAGTCATGGGTATGTTCTGTTTCTGAAGCTTAGGAACGATTAGCCTGACTACAATGAAAGTTTGAATGTAGCTTACATGTATCGTCACCCTTGACGCTGCAACTCTATCTATTGACGTCTTCTTTTCGATCACCCCGTATTAAAAAATCGCCAGTCAAAGCCATCCGTAGCGATTGGTAAAACCGCACAATGCACATTACTTTAGCGGTGGGCTGTACCTACCAACTACGCACTCCACCGGAAGATAATGGCCTCCATGATGTGAACGGCCTTGACGTGAACCTAACATGCGTTGTCATTGCTAAAGCAGGTCAAAAAAGACATTTGCTTTACAATGAGCGCCGGATTTCGCACGAATTATGTGAACTGTCAGTTGTAGGTATAACTCGTACGATAAGGTCATGCAAATGTCAAAGTCATGGTGCACACTGCACACGTACCTAATTGATGCCCGTCATTTGGACTATTACATAACCGAATGCGGAAGCATTTTGATTAGATGAATTTGCTGGCGCAGCTTTCTACAAATCTTGCATATCGGAGACCTTTTTTACCACGGGCATCCCCGAACCGCTGTTGTTTCTTAGCTCCCTGCACATTTGGTGCAGCTGGGCATGCGTGTGAGGAAGCTGCCCGCTCTGATTGTGTTGGGTGTCCTTTATGTTCATGGTCTAAAATCGACACCGGCTGCTTATAATTCAAACGAATCTCAATTTCATTTGGAGCTTGAGATATCCGATTTTGCATATGAAATCGTACAGTATGACTTATGAGTTTGACTTATTCAAACTAAGGCCTTAAAAGGTGTTGTTCGCTAGACTTTTCTCATAGCGGCAGACGCGTTCTCAAACAAAGAGCGACACCCACGTCAAACACAGCGACACTTGCGTCTGTTCAGAGGTCGATGCATGATCCGACTGAGCTCTACTAATCCCTTAACAGTGGCAGATGCGTCATCGGACCAAAGATGCGCTGTGGTGCTCCTATGGAGAGGTGATAGTGACAGACGTCAACGGCACATCGGGGAACATCCGTTGGGACTCGCCTTATCTTCACCCGGGATCCTACTCTCGTCAAGGAGCTGGTTAAAGAAGATAGCCTCGAAGTGGCTGATTGCAGTGACAGGCAACTGATGTGTTTTATCTAGTTCAAGTGTATTATCGCTGTATGATACATAGGGGCATTCAAGCAGTAACTTTAAATGCGTGCACGGCAGATATCATTTTTCACTCAGTGCAATTGTAATGGTAAATATATGGTCGGTGACAAGAGGGCAGTGAAATGAGTGACAAATGGCAAATACTCATGTCAATGCCGCCGCACTGCAGTATGGCGAACGGCGTCAGTTTATCGGCACGATAGCCAATTCCTGAGAAAGCTGCGATCGTACTTGCACAAAGCCCGGTTCCCCAGTTTGTGAAGCTTCCTCCAGTTGTTCTGGATTGTCTCCGTTCCGGCAGCGTTAGCTCTCAGGCTAGTGCGCAGCTGCTGCAGGAACGGGACTTCTACTGAGACTGGGTGGTCGTGTACTATCCAGGTGACGGCCGGACTGCACGGCGGGGTCGTCAGGCTGCCGTGGTAGCTGAAGAAGGTCCTCAGGGCGACTCGCAGCGGTCTCCGCAGCGGTCGCAGGTCGACCTGTCTGGTGACGGAGCTGCCCAGCTGCGACAGCTGCGGCAGGTCGCCGTCCAGACCCAGCGTCGGCAGGGACAGACTCAGCGCCGGGTGTCGACGTGCGCCAGCGCCGCCGACACGTTGCCGTACTGTTGGTTGAAGAAGACAAAGTGCGCCTCGGCCTGCTCGAAGGCGCCGTTCATCTTGTGCTCGGAGCCGCGGCCGCCGGCCGGGTCGTTCCAGTGTAGGTGCAGGTTGTCCAGGATGTACCGGCTGCTAAGGAGACCCGATCTGCTGCCCTTCAGCTGAACGGCCGGCTGGCCAGAGTCGTTTTCCAGCGTCACACTCAGTGTGCGGCCCGTGTTCGTCGCCGTCAGTCGTCCAGCTTTGAGACGTTTGGCGAACCTCACTCGCGGCCCTCTACCATAATACCAGAATCGGTCCTCTGTCGGCCTCAACTCCACTGGTGACTGCTGGTCTCCGCCGCACTGCGGGAACTCCTTCCACCACTTATCCTGCGCCCAGTACTTCCAACTGGGTTCCACGGGCGCGGCTCGGGCCGGCAGAGCCACCGACACCAGTACTGTCAGAGACAGGCAGAGCCGCGGCATGGTGCTGAGGGACGACTGTCGGCGGGCGGGTCGGACCCCACTTTATCCGACCAGCGGACGTGTCAGTGTGGGCGAGGACGGGTGAAGAGCTGTCACATTACGTTTATGGGCAGCGTGTACTGGCGTGGACGGCAGGCCGGTCCGCTGTTCAGGTGTCCCTATCGATTATTTCCGTGATACAACCTCTGCCATTAAACGAAGTCATTGCAATAATTTTTCATCAGCTACAGCCTACACATTTTCGAACAGTTGGTAGTATTTAGTAACAGTTGGCCTTCTCAGCGGTACGTACGTTTGAAAATTGTCTCAGTTCCGTAGCGTGTTTACCCCGCCTGTTTGCGTGCTCTGGGAGCGTCGCTCATCACTCGCTCTACATCCGGGAGGTGGGCGCCAGCCGTCTAGATAGGCCGCCAGCGCTGCAATCAGCGGGCAGCTATCTTTATAAGCCATCTCGCCTGTCGCGGATATGCAGAAGATAGCGCTCGATCGCGGTGCGTCATGCGTGTATCGTCGAACGGCCCTGTCGCGCACACCCACTCAGGACTCGTGACGTTTGCGCCCGTCACTCAAATGAAAGTGTGTTTGGTTCAGCGTTGTTCTCGGATCTATGAAAGTGAGATCAATTCGAGGTTATGTTGGAAAGGTCTAACGTGCACGTCAAAACCTCGTCCCCCATGTCCTGTTCCCTCGGCAGCCCCCCCCCCCCCTCGCCCGCTGACCGCTGACATGCCGCAGCCGCCTGCTGACAGCGACTCTGTCACCGCTGACCCCTCGCCACCCCTCCTCCGCCCACCGGGATGCGATTCCGCTCATCGCGACGCTCAGATTATCATCATCGAGATCACGTGTGGCCTAGCGCTATCGAGCTCCGCCACGATAGCGTTCGGCGCGGCTCGGCCCGCTCGAGCGGCCGCTCCACAGGTGCCTGGGACGCGTCCCGCCGCAGCCATGGAGCACCGCCGCGTCACCATGTCGCCGCTGGTGATGGTGATGATGGTGGGATTGGTGGTGCCGTTCACCAATGCAGGTCAGTGCCCGGGATGATCTGTCGTGATGAGCGATAGTGTGAAACTTTGTCCAAGTGTGACCAGGTGTGAGGTCCATTGTGTGCTCCCGATCCTGACCCTATGGCTACCATTAACCTCCCGGATCATATAGGCATGCTTCTTTTTCGTGCTTCACTGTGAGGCTGTGTGTAAGCGCATTCATGACTTTTCTAACACTGCTGGAAAAGCTATGCAAGTAGGTACAACTGTTGGCTGTTCATTCGTTGTATGTCAGAGGAAACTCCATATCTGAAATGTCCCTCTTGGCTACCCAGTGTCTTACGTTTAGATTGATACGCCTTGCTGCTAGCAAGAGGCAAGAGTATCCCTTACACTATTGAAGTCCATTATATTGTTGTTTGTCGAAACCTGTGTTGGTCTGTCAAATATGTCAGTGGTAGTCTGTAGTTTTGTTATTTGTACCAATGTCTTCATGTACTGTCGGCGCCGAAAGTCAATGATCATCACTCTCCACTAACAACTATCTTGCATGTTTCCCTCAGCGGCGGCGGTGATGGCGACTCCGCTCGGCGCTACAGACTACCAAGCCGAAATCCTGGATCAGGTCAACATCATGGACCAGCTACTCAGCAACATGACTATCGAGCTGAGCAAAGCGACCCCAGATCCGACCGGGGCGCCACCGGACGAGGAGACGGAACCGGACGGGCCGGACAATCTGAAGCTAGACCACCCCATGGACACGCTGGAGCTCCTGCCGCACGGCAAGGCGTTCGACAAACGGAGCGCGCAGTGGCTTCCCGAGCTGCCCAAAACCCTGAACCTGCAGAGAGAAGAAAACCTCCAGTCGGAGACGAACGCGTGTCACAAGAACGACGTCAGCACGACCCTGAACGGTTCAGTTGCTGTGCTTGACCGTGTCTCTGCTAGAGAGTTCACCCCAGATGTCCTGGCCGACATGAAAGCACAGAATGATGCACTGGACACGTTCTTCACTAAATGTTCGCTGAGCGCTATGGACTACGCGGAAGCCCAGGAACTGCTCGGTTCCGTGGCAGCGACGGAGACGCACGTGACTGCGGCTAAGGCGGCGGCCACACCGGCCGAGGTGGGCCTAGAGGTTGGCTCTGCCTTCATGGTGGTGCTCATCACTCTCAGCTGCCTGATGGCGGTCGCCGCGATGGTCGGCCTGGCCGTGGTGGGCTACCGTTACGCCACCGTCACGGCCCGTCCCTCTGCGCGCCCCACCAAGGGCGGCGGCGGACCGACCATCCCGGCGGACAGGGTGCGCCCGGACGCCGGTCGGCCGAACCCGGCCTATGAGCCGGCCGACCCGCCCGGCAGTCTGCACCAGGCGCGCAACGAGCGCTGGCGACAGGACGGCGAGGTGACGCCGCACCGGCCGGCCGCTTCAAAGTCCACCTGGGGCCGCATCTGGGGCGGCGTGGTGCGCGACTACCAGCGTGCGCGCGACTCGTACGCCGAGCCGCGCCGCGCCTCGCCTCCGCCGCGCCGCGCCTCGCCTCCTCCGCGCCGAGCCTCGCCCCCTCCTCGCCGAGCCTCGCCGCCACCGCGCCGGGCCTCGCCCCCTCCTCGCCGAGCCTCGCCGCCACCGCGCCGCTACTCGCCGCCGCCGCAGCCGGAGAGTGGCGACAACTGGGCATACGGACCGTCCGGGCGCAACAAGTCGACCGACTCTCCGTTCGCCTCAGCCTGGTAGGAGTTCAGATCGATGTTCCATGTGTTCGGATGCTCTGTGGAGTTGTTACTCTGAGCTCCAGTTTGGGACAGGTCTGCTGCCCAGTGCGTGAGCGGCGCATGTAGCAGCTTGATGGACTGCCTGGGCTCAGGACAGGAGTAATACCAGTGTAATCTGGCAGGTCTCAGTGAGACTGGATGCGAGGATATCGAAGGCGATGTGAGGACTCAGGCGACGGTATATGGTGAAACGTGCTGGCTCACACTTCCAAGAAGGCAAGGATAGCAATATATGGAAGACTGTGCTTCGCCACTCCACGAAATTTTCAGCGGCACGACGTCTCTTGTGATTTGTGAGCGGTAATTTACTTCATAATGAGGATTCACGATGGGTGTGCAAGAATTTGTGTTCTAAAATTCCATCGCCGGTGTAGGTATATAGAGAGTTGACACTGCATATTTAAATGCCTAAGGCATGTGTAGCTTCTAGGATTGCATGTGGGTGACGATACCAGTCTATTGGCTCTTGGTGATAGACCTTCCAAGTAACTACGTAAGTTCAACTTTTGGCCGAAAATTAATTCCTTAATTTGTTAATTGCCGAGCACTTGAAGTATTTTCTCAACTGTTGCCTAGAAATATCATTGCTATTGTTTATTTTTCTTCTTGTTCTTGCTTTTCACCGCTTACTGGAGATTTTTATTAGTATTTGTATGCTGCCGCGAACGTGCATATTGCGCTACAGCGAAATGAATGCATACAAATGAGATTCTGTGAAATGTATATGTTAGTACGATTGAAAGCTCATCTTTTTTCAATTAATTAATGTTCCTGAATGAAGTCCTCGTTAAAACCCTCAGCTGGTGTGGCAGACAGCATCTGTGTTAGCTGGTGACAAATCCGAGTTCTATCAGATACGTGCGATCCGAAACATCCCGGCAGGGGGCGAGCCTCGGCAAGCCAGCCAATGGCGGCCCATGGTTGGCGATAGAGTACAGTAAATCAGACGTTGACTCTCCTCTCCTGTTTATAGCAGCGCTGCCAACCTACCCATGGTTGGAGCGGAACCTATTGTAATTGCGTAGGTAGACGTGACAAATCATGTGAAGATAAAGGTCTGTGTCCGTACCCCTGCGCGTATGGCGCTCTGACCACATTTTACCAAAATATATGAGGACCCTGATTATGTTTGATGAAGTTGGGATTTGTATGCTGGTCGAGACTTTATACCTTGTCTGGTTTATTCGCATTTCTCAGGCATCAGCTGCGGATTGTAAAACCTTTGCCTGCGCTGGGAAGCGCGTATCTTATCTACTCTGATTGGCATTGACGTAGTGTGGCCGAGCACTGATAGTAGTCCGATGAGATAAGGGTGTATCCGTGAAACTGTATTCGGATTTGGGAGACACTGACTGCCATGTGTCAATGAGAACGGCCGAGAAAAGACGCGAGCGGCTCATAGCCGCACTTAACTTTTACGTATGTCTTTATGACTTGTCAACGCCATACTGAAATTCACCTTTTGATCCTACCGGTAGAGTGACGCTGTCAGATGTACCGGAGGGTGACCGATATATCGGCCTGATTGGTTGTAAAAAGATGACACGTTTTCCGATAACCAGGTACGATCGTATTCTCAAACTTAGCTTTGGCGACCATCGGCATAACATCGCGAAAAAGGCTGTTCCCAGATCCTGGGTCGGTCACTGGTCTAGTGAAGTTTGAGTTAGGTACTGACGTCCAGTCATTTGCTTGTAATCTAAACAATTCAATCTTATGACATTTCTTCTTTACTGCTACCTAAGAAACAAAACTTTGAAAATGCTTGATAGCCTATCCAACATCGCAAACCGCTTGCCGATGCGAAGCCTAAGAACCAAGCCTATGTGCGGGATGTTTTCACAATTCCAAGTTGCCACTCAGCTCCCCTCGTCATCAAAACACTACATTCTTTCATCATTTGTTAATGACCGACTAGCTGAGTTTTCTCAGCTCGATGCATCCGTGCTTGCCGCTACAGCCCCGCCCTGCCCAGTGATTACCGAGGCGGCAGCGGGAGGTGCCTGTCTGGGAACTGTCACCTGGCCACTGTGACACGCAGCGTCGCTATCTCAGCTCGCCAGTGGCCAGTTCCCAGCGGCCTCACCTCCTCAAATGTGGCGCTGCCCACGGTGAGGTCGACACTAAGCAGTCTGAACCGCCCCGGAGCCGACCTCCGCCCGTCGCCGCACCACAGGTGAGCGCTCTGCGATTACCTGTCTGCGTTTGGAGGGTAAACGAAGGCAGGCCGGTCGGCTTTTGAAAACTTCTGGAGGACAGAGATCCGATATACGGATTATAGGATTAGCTGTAGGGTGGCCTGACGAGTGACGACGGCGACGGATGTGGTGTCGACGGTTCATTTATGGTGGTGCCCTCAAAATCGTGAGCCAATATTTCATCCAGCGCTTATTCTATATGATTCTTGGGGTGTCATGTTGAATGTTCTGATCCAAATTGTCTGTTCTTTTCCTACTCGACAGTGACTGTAGCATTGGATGCCATCTAACGTCGTTCTGCTGGCAGTGACATCTACAGCGATCTCGTATCGTCCCGTAGCTCGCCAAGTCACGCCCTCTGTGTGCCCTGTGTGACCTCTGCTGATTTGTGTGACCTCTGTCGCCCTGTGTGACCTCTGTCGCCCTGTATGACCTCTCTGTGACCTGTGTGCTGTTCTCTGCAGAACCTCCGTCCGCCGATATGAAGGTGACTCTGCTGCTGGTGGCGCTGATGGTGGCCTCTGCCGCGGCCGTGCCGGCGGCCTCCCAGCTCCAGGGCGTGCCGCCCATCATCGACGACCTGATCGCGCTGCTCATGTCCGTCATCGAGCACATCTACGAGTGGATCGTGGCGCACCTGTTGGGCGGCCAGCCGGCGCCGCTGGGCCGCGCCGAGCTGCGCGCCGCGCTGGCGCAGCAGGCGCCGCAGCTGCTGGCGCGCCTGCAGCAGCAGCTGGCCGTCAGCCGCGCCCAGCTGGCCGAGCTGCTGCGCGAGGCCGAGCAGGCGCTGGCGCGCGGCCAGGCGCCGCCGCCGCAGCTGCTCGGAGCTGTCACCGGCCTCCTCGCCGACGCACTGGCCGCCTGAGCTGCTCTCGACTGCACCTGCCTCCTTTAATGATATTTCGCCATCGACTGCTGTTTCAACGTGTCCAATAAATTTATATAAACTTTCCCAAGCTATGCTCGACTTTGACCAATGGTGCGGTTATAGGTATATCACGGTTCATTACAATTTCCATATGACTGGCTCCGAAACGTTACGAGGGTAATGCGTTGTAACTTGTAAGGTATTGCCTTATCACTCGGGGCAGCTGAATTTATGCAACGCTGCGTGACACATGGTTACAGCTTGAAACTATGCATGATGTGCAGCCATAACGGAGATCTACCCAAGAGCATAGAACTCCGATCTGTCGTCGTCCTGATGCCGCTAGCTGCTACTCCTGGCCGCTGCGTTTAAAGTTCGACCGATCACCTGCCTGATAGCGGCAACTGGAGAGCGAGCCCTAAACTGATGTCCGAAAGGCCCTCTGCCCCGTTCCGTACCCGAAGGTTGAGACTTTTGACTTTTCAATAGGAAAAATCCCTATTCTTTAGAATTGTGATTTGCTATTGAAAATATTACTGATTACTGATTAGTTCGTTCAAACCGATATTTTTTTCGTTCCACCCTCTTCCGTGCACAAACGTACACATAATAGTCATAGTGGCCCATAATGCCCTGCAGTGGTCCCAGCTAGGGCTGACTAGATGAAGAAACTGGAGAGACGTTGTTCTATATACCCTGGGAGAGACAGCCACTAAAGTTTATCCGATGTTCGATTGTTTTCATGCACTGCTGTGGGCGGAAGCGTTTGTTCCTCACTCCGTCTGCGTCCATCATTGTGCAATGAACACCCACGCAACCCTCTGAACTTCCGGCCCTGACTGACACTGAAACTGACATTCTTCTTTCGTCTCCTCACACTGTGGTCTCCTCAACATTTTCTGGTTATTTTCGCAGCGATATCGAGTCCGGACCATACGGAATAAGCATTTCAGAAGGATCAGTTGTCTATTGAGGATCTATTTCCGCACATTGTCTTGCTTATTGATTTATGACTTATTCAAAATGAGATTGATAATATATGTATAATGGGCTAAAACGAAAATAAATGCTGAAAAATGCAGCGGGTGAATGTGTAGTTATTACACGGAGTACAGCGTATGTTCATTTGCATGCGGCTTCTTCCATCGATTCTAGTTTGAAATTATCCCAGATTTCTAGTACAATTATCCTATTCCATTCCAGGTGCAAAGAAAAAAATATTTTTAAATCTGAATTTACGATATTCGCACTAACTGAAATAATTCAAAATACTAGAAAATATTTTGTTGTAGCTTGATTTCCTAAAAGTGAATAATTTGCTAAACTAGATATTTCTTTTGCCAGATTTATCACACTTCCGGATACAAACAACACGCAGGTGTTGGTTGAATGGGTGAGGGAAAACGCTAAACTTATTAAATTTTGACTGCCACTTTACTGAAACAGTTGTCTATGTATGCTATTTACAGCTAATATTAGTGCCATTGTGTGTGATTCGTATTATCGCTATTTTCTCTGGGAACTTGAAGGAAAGGCAGCCAAATATATGTGGCATTTTGGCGTGGATGGCCTTGGACGAAATCTTTTGCTTCAAGCTTTCGAGCCTGCTCATTTGAGGTGTAAGTATAGCATCAATATATTTGCGATAACCTTGACTTCAATTTTATACAAATGTTTGATGAATGTTGTGGATGTATTTCTGAATATAGAAGAAAATTAACTGACCACCATTATCGTTACGATGGCCTCTCCGACCCCATTGTCCGTAATTGCTGCCAAATCAAAATGTGATTGCTTGTTTCACAATTATGCATGTTAGAATTTATTGCTTTTCATCATATTCATGCTACACATGTGCTATTATATTGTAGCATTTATTTGTATTGATCCATCAGATTGTTGAAAGCTTTCAGTAGGCGGAACTATGGTCAAGCGTACCCATTTTCGGGAACACATTTTCGTTCCCATGTTTGGGAACGATAAACCCAAATATGGGAACGCCATGTAGGCATTATTTAAAACAAGAAAAAGAACCGTTAAATGACGTCCAAAAAATATAAAACGATCGTGAACCGCCTGATATTTGTCTCAATATTGTTGGGAAAGAGTTTGATATTGTAAGGCCCATCGTAGTTTCAAATCGTTCCCCTATTTCTAAAGCAGTCCATCATCCGGGCCGCGAGCCCAAATTTGGGAACGCTCTCGTACACTGGCGCTGCAAGCGTTCCTTATTATGGGAACGGCGTACCCAAAATTGGGAACGATTTCACCGACACCTTTCAGGGGCTCTTTTCATTAACAAGCATCACGTCCAACGCCGCAAATTATTGTTAACGCAACAATCATCAGATGACCTTTCCGGCAAGACCGTCGCATGTTTCGCCCGGTCTTCTGCGCTTTTATTCCCGTCGATCTCGCAGCGGGCACGCCCCCCCCTCTGCAGGATTACGTAATTCACAACGCTCAGCGATGTTCAACAAGGTCTTCCATACCTATATCCACCGTCCGCGCTGAGGGTGGAGACATGTCAAGCACCTGTCTGTTTATCACCGATAGTTGATGAGTACAAGGAAGTATCCAAAAATGGGAACGCTGAATATGTTACACCCTCAAAACACCTAGTCCCAATGAAAATCTAGTTTTTTCCTTTCTTGTTGAGTGTAAGTGGCAAAAGGCCTGGTAGGATGGGCACGAGGAATTATCGAAATCAGCATAAAAATTATAAATAAGCCACACAGAGCGAGCTATATAAGAGAAATTCCCCCAAAACGATCACGCTTAGAAACACGGAAGACAAAAACCACGCTCATGACGCTCCTTATAAAACAACTCTAAACAGCTAGCATCCAAATAAAATATGTCTTTCCGGGATGATAAAATACAGCTGGACAATTTTCAACCGCTTAAACTGAGTTTACAACAGTAGCTCGGTAAATTCACTCACGTTCCACGCGGTCGTCCGCCCCGACACAAAAGTCAACAATATTACCTCGGGACCGTCCGCGTCTTCGCTTGCATTTGTCAGCATCTGGTGTCGATAGTATGAAAGTTCATAACCAGGCGAAAATTATTATACTTTACCTCAAACTAAAAAATGCTTCATTTTCCTTAAAATTGCATGTTAAATGTCGTATAACCCATATTTCCACCATTCTGTCACTTTCAAAAAATCATTAAAAATATCATTCCACGGTCAATTTCCTTGTTCCACGGTCAGATTAAAGATAACTTTATGGAGATTTAGTAGATACTTAAATCAGCGTGCACTTTTTTGAGACGTGATGCACTTTTGAGTTTTAGTGGGAGAACGGCCGAAAAATTGCCTTCCGTTCTCATAAATGGGAACGCCCGTTCCCATATTTGGGAACTCCGTTCCCAAAAATGGGGACGTTCCTATATTTGGGTACTCATGACCATAGTTCCGCCTACTGCTTTGAAAGGGCATGGATGATAGATGTGAGGATTAAGATTGGGCCATCATATAGCAGGTGTCTCACATGCTGCCACTGCCATGTGACAGCAGTCCACTGACATGGTTACGTCAGTTAGCCTGACTGATGTCACATAAGCTGTTTTTTTTTTGCTGTTATTGCAAAATTGTCAACATTTGACAACAATATCAGCTGCTTTAAGCTTTTCTGTTGATTTAGCTGGCCTCATTACATGGGTATCAAATAGCATAACTCATGCCTTACCTAGTTACCTTCATTCCCCCAGCTACATAGGCTGGTAAATTCTCCCAGGCCTTCTACCTTCCAGTCATAATTGGGACAGATATTCTAGGATTGTGTGGGTGATATGAATTCATAAGCCTGGAGTAGGTTAACCCGCGCCCTGCTGGGGGTCCTGGATTTCCACGCCCTGCTGGGGGGGGGTGTTTGAACACCCCCCCTTGTAACTCGGCTCCTGGGCCACGTAGCGATACGCGGAAGGCGGCGTTCGAAAGAGCGTAAAAAATAATGACGAAATCACTTCGGTCAATTTTTTGGTCAGGTCAAAGGTCAGGTCACCAGGGGTCATTGAAGGCAAAATTTCGCCGATTTCCAGGTCGAACGTCGAAAATTTCCAAGAAGCCAGCGCATAACTCGGGAACCAATAGAGCTACAGCGCCGGGGAAAAGCGCATTCGATAGCCCTATTAACGCCCTTTCTGAGTAAATTTCTCAGATTTGACCTAACGTCAACGGTTTTGCCTGCAGGGGGCAAAAACTGCAAAAATAGCCGATTTTTTGGAAACAGTTTTTCTGCAATAACTTTTGACCCAAGCCTTGTACGAGCTTACTTTTACCGGCATCGTGTTCCTCTCGTCAAGACGCATCGAATGAACTATAACTTGACCTTGAAAGGTCAACTTGAAAATTTGACCTCAGGTCAAGGTCATGACCTGACCGGAAAGGGTCATGTTGCATATCAGTCGATCCGTATCGTCGAGCTGAACACATCTAAGGCGTTTTCATCGCTCTAGCATGCCTCTATCAAAAGTTATTTGCGAAAAACTGTTAGATACCATTTGTGACCTAAGATGACCTCAGGGCATAAAGAAGGGTCACGGACACCATTTTTAAGTTCAGTGTGTCTAAACCACTTGTAATGCGGTGTTTGGGAGTGTTTATAATGTCTTTCATCCAAAAGAGGCGCATTTCAATTTTCTCCCATTGACTTATAATGGGGAGGTCGCAAAATTGACCTGACCTTAGGTCATCGATATCAAAATTCTGAGATATACATTTTGTACATGCTATTGCTCTTAGCAATCGCTGAAAGTTTCAAAGCGATCGGTCACTCGGTGTAGCTATGACAGACATTGAAAGTTTTTATGAGGTGAGGTCACTTCAAGTGACCTGGTGACCTGACCTTGAATGACCTTGGTCTGAAATTTTCACAACATGTGTAGAATTGATGTATGATAAGGTGTACCAAAAACGGCGGCGCTCCGCGCCGCCGTTTTTGAGATATTCGCGAAAAACCACAAGGGGGGGGGGGTGTTCAAACACCCCCCCCCCCAGCAGGGCGCGGGTTAATAAAACAGTTTGGATCTTGATATAAATATCAAACTAATTGTTACAATTAAATATAATTAAAGATCTTATTTGTGTCAACTAGCTCATCATTTACATTATCTGAATTATAATTTTTCATGTCTAGTCAGCATTAAAATTTGTCTTAAACTAAGATCATTTTCATCAGTGTTTTGATCCACTATAGCAAATACTGCTGAGTGCTGACACCATGGAAGTTGCTGCAAACAGGCTTGTGAAGTCAGTTCATTCAGAGTATTATTTCACAGATAACTGTTTCTGGATAAGACAACTTATCCAGCCAGTTGTGTTCTGTGATTAGCCTTTTCTTACCTACAAGTTCTAGCCTTTTGTACATACCCTCCTACCTTATAACTAGATTGCATGAATTTGCAATCTAATTATATGGTGGGAGCAAAAATGCAAAGAATACCTATGTGTTGGTGGACCTTTGGCTCAGCAAGACATTATCTGCTTGGTGGGTGCTGATTTTCAGTTTAAGCCATGGAACAAAGCATATGGAAGAGATTTAAAATACAATTAAAGTACTTGCATTTGTCATGCCTTGACATTAAATCTGTACGATTTTCAGATAACCATTAGATTTTAAATTCTTTACTCTGTTCCATATCAATATTGTGGTCAAAGTGCACTGCTGAAAGCAGTGCGTGATTTCTGTATATACAGCTCTTGCATTCAAAGATGCAGAATATTGAATGGAGGAACGAACTGCCAAAGGAACCCTGACCACAAGCTTGATATGGAACAGACTATAGTTACCCATTCTTTACATAACAGGCAAAAAATTCTGCTGGTGGTTGTGTGTTTTGTATCTGGAAGTGGCATTCCTAGTCTGCTCGCCAGCTGGTTTTCGGGTAGCATTGGCTGATGTTCACAGTGAAGCCTTCATTGGCACTCAGCCAGCCAGACCACAGAAGTGGTGTTAGGTTGGGTGTACCGTTCATCGACTGCACAGCCTGCTGCAGCTGCTTCAGTTAGACATGTTTCAGCTCAGCTTTTTTTAGCTTGCTTTATATGATAGAGGAGCAGGGACGCAGTAATAATTGGTTGTGTTTTAAGTTTTTCTCTTTCTTTGGCTGATAACCTGTGGTTGACTTTCAAAATCAATGAGTCCTTGGGCAGCACCTGCCACCTAGTGCCCGGTCAACTACACTAGCCCTGTCCACTCGCATTTCCCGTCTTCATAGACGATGCCAACTTGACCCATTTGCTTACTGCCAGTGGCTGCTTTTCTGTTTCCGTACCCATGAAGGCATCTTATCAAAGATTAAATCACTAGATGCAGTAAATTCAGGGATGCGGAGCCGTGGAAATTTCAGACAGCTCCGGGTCCGGCTCCAAGTGAAATAGCATGGCGGCTCCGGCTCCGAGTAAAATGGTCCGGCTCCGGCTCCGACTCAGTACATCCCTTATGCGATCAATTAAATACGGGTGGAAGAAATAAGGCGATTGGATTGGTGCACGTTGCTTCTGTATTTGCATAACAAGGCTATTTTCTCAACAGCACATGCGATCACCGAACAGGGTATATAAGGTGGCGAAATGTTATGGATATGTATTTTTCCCGGAAAGAAATACTCTCGGTCCATTGCACTGGCTTCAAAACAATGGCCGTCACCTGATGACCGGTCCTCAGGTTCTCGGGATGCAGCAGACGTGGGGAGGGAGGAGCAGACAGGAGGTTGATTGCGTACTGTGGGACACTGGGGATACGTATTCAGCTTCTTTCATCCACGTGATGGCCTATGACGTACCACATGTTTTACTGCCTTGTACGAGGGGGTATCGAAAAGTTCTGATCATCACCATGAATTAGATGTGATAGAAATTTGATTTTTTTACATGATGTTCATTACTCCTTTACAAGTCACCACACACGACCGCAAACTTATTGCATCGTTTCTTGAGATGCCTCAGGCGGTCATTGTAGGACCTTCGCCTTGTCCCGTAAATCACTGCTCCACCTCATCAATGACGTCATTTCTGGCCTTTAATCACCGGCCATACTGTGGATTCTTCATCTCCTGTAACAATCAAGAGTCAGTTAATACCCAGTCAGGTGAATTTCTTAGATGCGGTAGGATTTAATGTCCACATCATGTTGATTCTTAAATCGCAGCTCAGGACGAATGGGCGGGGGCGCTGTCGGTGCGGATAAAACATCTTTCTTGGGCTTTTTTGCGGCGATTCTGCTTGAGGCCATCTCGCAACTTCTTCAAAAGTGTGCAGTAGTGCTTGCTTATCATTATCCGACCATCATCAAGACAGTCGGTAATGACTATCCTACGCCAGATCCAGAACACTGATAGCATTGACTTTCCATATCGGCTTCTGCATCTTCGCCTTTTATGAAGAACAGATGTGCCGTGCTTAAACTTCTTGATCATCTTTTTGTCTCTGGATCATACACATAGACCCAGCATTCGTTACAAGTCATTAAATGATCGAAGATGTCTTCAATTTCCTAAAAAAACCTAGTTTTCATTTCGAAAGGCCAAGACGCATTTTTCTCTTGAACAAAGTAGATACACGAACTTCTAAGCGGGCTGACTCCTTTATCGTCTGTCGTTCTTCGCCGATAATATTTTCAGGCACTGCCAGAATTGAGACCTTTCTGTTGCACAATCATCTGAAAGGTCACACGACGATCTGTAAGGATGAGGTCCTCCACTTCCTTCACAGTCACCACCTTGTCAGTCACTGGTAGTCACTCACTTTTTGACTCCCCTGCAAGGGAAATGCAACCAAGTTGAAAATTATTTGTTCATTTTCGGTAAGTACATTAGATGGGCTTCCCCAGCTATTAACTAATTTCACTTTCTTGATGTATTTTCTCAGTGTGATACCGTTTCAAATGCATTAGTTGGATGACGGTTCGGTCCTCAATGGGCCCAATACTCATCTTTTTTACTTCTAAGTCTCTCCTACATAAGATAAAACCACTTCTCAGGATTCTCTTTGCGGGAACATTGTTCTTAAGAACCAAATATAATACCAACCAAAAATCATCAAAATCGGTCTATATCTTCTATGTGATGATCAGAACTTTTCGATACCCCCTCGTACTGTCAAACCGAACTAGGTCAAATAACTTTTCCTCTTAAAAAAGAGCCGGATTCGCCCCCTTCTTTGACGGCTCCGGCTCCGGCTTTGGGCTATATTGTTTCACGGTTCCGGCTCCGGGCAAAATATGCCGACTCCGGCGGCTCCGGCTCCGGCTCCGCACCCCGGGCAGAAATCTTCTTACATTTGCCTTTATGGACCATCATGAAATAAACTATCGCCGCTAACTCTTCCGTCTCTTGCAACTATAACGTTTGTACACGGACTCTTGTGTTTCACAGACACTGTCTACGTAATGTAAGCTGCCGGCACTGTCTAACAGTGGTAGACCACCAAGCGGGAGCAGCGGCAGCGGCGGTGCGCGGCGACCGGCCGGTGTGTGCGAGAGAGGCGAGCGGGCGCGGGCGCAGCGGCCATGTCTGGCTCGGACTCGTTTCTGGACCTGGACGCCACGCTGGTGGGCGAGGACCAGCGCCTGGAGCCACTGGAGGAGGAGTCGGCCGACACGGTCTGCAGCATCTGCGGGTCAGTGCACAACGGACGGTTCTGCCCTAACAGTAGTCATGGAGTAATTGCCTAGATGCATTGGTAAAAAAGACTTTGCATATCATTACAGACTACAGCACAATATTTGGCCATTATGCCAGAGCTGAAAACATCTGAAATGTTTTTTATCGTGAGCCTCTGCTGCCAGTAGCTGTTTGAAGGTGTAGCGTATATTGGATAATATGCGTTGTGCGTTCGCTATATGCGCTGCGTGTGCCATTGGCTTGCGTTTTGTCGATCACTGTCAGCATTTGACGCTGATTGCTCGCTCACAGAGAGGGCTATCAGCGGCCGCGACTGCTGCGCTGTCTGCACGCGTTCTGCGAGCGCTGCGTTCAGCGCCAGCACGAGGAGGACGAGGACGAGTCGGGCGCCGTCGAGTGCCGCCGCTGTCAGCAGCCGACGCGGCTGGACGAGCGCGGCGCCGCCGCCCTGCCACTCGACCATGTGACGCTCAACCTGCGCGACATGCAGCTGGTGCGCGAGGGCGCCGCCGCGTGCTCCAGCTGCCGCGCCGGCCAGCCGGCCGAGGCGCGCTGCGCCGACTGCGCCCACTTCCTCTGCGCCCAGTGCCACCAGGCGCACCAGGTCAGTAGCGGCGCGTCACCGCGACACGCCGGTGGCGGGGACTGTAAACATGTTTTTATACACTTTTGCCATGTTGAGATAGACTGCTAATTACTGAGTGGCTTACTAAATGCTAAAATTTCAGAAATTTCTTATCTTCATTTTGCTTTGCAATGTAACAGCATATGCGGTTACAGTTGCTTTGTTATGTTTAGCAATAATCGGTGTTCATTTTTCATGAAAATCAGTGAAACTTAAGAATCATTTTCATTATCTTTTTGTCAATATCTTTCACTGCAGAACAATTTGCATTATGGCTCTCTTAGCTCAACCCTTAGAATAGCACTACCTGCGGTTTCCAATGCACCGCGGCTATACTTCAGTGATCATCGTGATCATTGTAATCGTCAGCTTTATCGTGGTGACGACCGCCTGTTTATTATTTCACTACGTTAACAATCGATTCTACAGCTGAGCTGAACACTGAACAGCAGCACTGTGTTCAACATTAAGTGGTCGCCATTTGATACAATGCCACTCTCGGCACAATGAAGAAGCCCATGGTTCCTTCAACTGAGCTCCACTGCCTCTTCTTCCGCAGAAGATGAACTGCTTCCAGCGGCACCAGGCGATGACGCTGACTGAACTGGAGGAGGCGGCCAACAAGAACCCGATCCCGATCCACCGGCCGGTCCTGTGCGACCACCACCCGGATACGCAGGTCTCGCTGGCCTGCATCTCCTGCAAGGTCAGTCGCCGGGTGGGATGACTCGCTTAGCGCTCGTGGGTCGTGGTTTTGTGATGTGTGTGTATTCATGGCGAAGAAGCTGATTTGGGCGCCGATGACTGCACTGCAATCCGGGCGTTCCAAACCCTCAAATCATCATCGTCATCACCGGAGAAACTATTTGAATGGTCCTCTTGATTCATTCGTGGCCCACGGTTCCTGTTGAATTAGAAGTTCACTAGGGATGTTATTTTCTTCAGTTGAAATAGGAAAATGGCCATCCAAGTCTTATCTCGCGACAGGCGGCGATGTTTTCCCAGAACGCTACTTACAGCATGTGTAATATTTTGTGCCCACCAAATTTTACGGCCGAATTTACTGAGCTAATGTTCCAATCGCAAATGGGATGTGAAACTCACGGACAGCTTCAGCTAATTCCAGTGGTGTGTTTTTTTCCGGCCATGAAAAACTTGATATTGTTTACATTCTGTCAGATGTTGTCTGCTTTTGTCACATTTTGCCTACTATGAACGTCAAACCCTTTGAGACCCCACTTTTTTGCGATAATTTTTAAATGCGTCAACTTTCGTTGACAATATTCTGGCATTGTATGTTTCAGAACCTGCCGAAACTTTTATTACTAAGGTATTTTGACGCCAAACTATTATGGAAGATACTTCTCATTCACTCGTAATGCTAAGGTCAATTCAGGCCCGGGCAGAGGCTTGCGCTCGGCCACACTCGAGCCCCGCCACCAGCGCCATCTGCTCTAAATGCCATCTACCAGCGCCCGCTACCGCTACCAGCTACCGCCCACCATCAAGCCTGGATGGAGCGAGAGACGCGAGTGACCGGTCGCCGAGCAAGGAGCGCCGGAGGGGTAGGGCGGAGCTTAGCGCTGACGTCATTACGTGGCTCCGCCCCATGAGCGCGTAGCCTCTACCCAAACAGCATATTCGTTCCGTGAAATTTAACATTACGAGTGAATGAGAAGTACCTTTCATAATCGTTTGGCGTCAAAATACCTTAGTAATAAAAGTTTCGGCAGGTTCTGAAACACACATTGCCAGAATATTATCAACGAGAGTTGACGCATTTAAAAATTATCGCAAAAAAGTGGGGTCTCAAGGGGTTTGACGTCCATAGTAGGTCAGTACCTGCCGTGCAAAGCCAAAAACGTTTGCGTTCGGGTGACCCCTGGCCTGACACAATGACCTCTGACCTTAAGTCATCGTGTTTGCTTTGTACGGCAGAGTATAGTTAATGTTTGGTATTCATATATTTCCAAGGATACCTAGTCTCATTTTGAATGCCAAATTAATCACATATACAACGTTTATTTCCTGGCTCTGTTTCACTTTCGACACCGATGACAATCATGCTCGCATAAACGTTGGCCCTGTTTCCAGAGTGTCCTTTAGCGTGTCCTTTTTTGCGTTGTATGAGAATTGCGTAGTTTTGTTGATTCCATGCAGTTTTAGTCATAACTTCTTGACACGAATAAGTCCTCTGGGCTGACATTCTGGCTGGTTTATTTGGTTAGGGACTTTCGACTGTAATTTTAATCCATTACTTCATACTTAACCATCGTCGTTTATGAATAGTCTGCGTGGAAGTGCGTCGTACCTAGCTGTTTCTAGTTTTGTCTAGTTTCGTTGTACCCAAAGATTGAACCTCTGTGACTTCCGCGGAATTCGGCCACTGCGCATGGACCGAGGAGATCGTCTCAATCAGTGACAAACACTGACGTTTGGTTACGACAGACAGCCTGAGCGTGCTCTGGGAATTGTCAATAACATGCAGGCTGTCGTCAGTGCAGCGGTAGGTTGCTGCCCCACCAGGCGCACCAGACAGCGGGCCGGGCGGGGGTGTTCCCGGGCGCGGTCCAGAGGTTTCTCCGCGCCTCCGCTGGCCGGCCGCTGAACCAAGGCACCCACTAATGGCACGCGACAGCTGTGATTCAGCCGCGGCTATAAAAAGGAGCCTGATTCATGCCGGCACAAGCCGACCGTGCATATCGCAACCGCCGCGGCCCAGTGCCACGGAACATGGACCGGGAATGATGCAGAACTGTTATCATGTTTGCTATCGCCGCACACTCATTCATTCGGCCTCGATTTAGCACATTACAGGCTATAAATATGCCGTCTTATTGACGGTTGCATATAACCGGCTGCCGCTTAGCGGAGAGCCTGTGCGGATGTCGGGCCGCCGGGCGGCTCAGTATTTTCACCTGGCAGTGCTGAGGCCGGGCACCGTTAGTGTGGGGTGAGGCCGGGGCCGGCGGCAGACGACGGACCGTGCCGGCCTGGCGACCGCCGAGGTGTCAGGCCGGACGGGGCGGTGTGCCGGCCGCTCCTCCCTTCTCCCCCGCCCCCTCCCCCCGCGAGCAATGCGGCCAAACAGTCGTCGGTGGCGCCGGCCGCCGGCCGCTAGCCGCCCCTGACCCGCGCGGCGCGCCGTCGTCACAGCCGAGCGCCGGCGGCCCCGACCCCGCTGAGACGGCCGAGCTGGGGGTGTGGCCGGCTGGGGACGATAAGGCCGGGTAGGAATGGAGAACGCAGAAATGCGATGCGATGTGTTAAAGAAAAGTGCGTTTTTTAATGGGAGTAAAATGAATATTGCTGTCGGCTCGCGTAGAAGCCTCAATAAACAAACAAGAGCTCTGGATCTAGACAGTCAGACACAGTCAAAAAGTACCTTTGACGCAAATGGGTGTGCTAGCGCTGTTCACTGCCCATGACGATTGTGACGTGGATGATATGTGGCCAGACACACCATCTCGTGGTCATCACCACCATTACGGGCTGAAAGCGATACAAATCTCGGATGCCTGTTACTGCGGTGGTGTTAGATGCATCCTGAGTTCAGCCAAGTAAATTGGCGTAGATTGATAATCACGCCATTTGAAAATATACCGATGCTAGCAAATGTTTATTTATTTCTTTGAACTGTTGACAATACTGTTGACGCATGCCCGTAAATATTTGGGCGCCGATAACCGCTAGGCTGATTTTATCGTTCAATGCAGACTCGTTCTCTTTTTATCGTCATAAATGTCCGCAAACACAGTTCAGTTGATGCCAATAAACGGCAGTAGTGAACGGCAGTGATGCCAATCAAAGGGTGTAAATGATATTAGGCCTGCTCTGCCAAATATTATTTGCGTCGCACTTTGAGGAGAAATTCGAATTGCGTTTCTTGCCGTCGAATCTATCTGCGATGTCTGGCTAGTGGCTACTGCGCTGGTAGCTCGGCCGGTCGACTGGGCGGCTGTCGGGACGGGCCGACCGACCGACCAGCCGGCCAGCCGTCTGCCAGCCACAGCTCTCCCCGGTGCCCTCTGGGCCGGCCGCTGCGGTGCCGTGCCAATGGCCTGCCCACCGACCCGTCACCACCTCCCCGGCCCGGCCGCCGCTGCTGAATGCCGCGGCGCCAGTCATGACGTGCTGTGCTGGGGACATGTGGGGCGCTATTTGCTGGATATACATCAGCTGTATATCCGCTGCAGATATGCAGTGGCGTTGGTCGGTCACTGTCTGTTTTGATCCATATTATCACTTATTTAGTCGTTACTTGCGCTAATTACGGAGCGAGCGAAGCGAGCGTAGTCTTTCCTTAGATTAACGGAAATTTCTGAGTATGAGCGGCCGGCCGGCCGGCCGGCCGTGCGGACGCTTTTGCGAGGCTTATATCTCAGCAACCACTTGACCGATTTACATGCGGTAATTTTTGTAGGGTAGCTTCATTCCTTCTACCAAGTATTGGACTATTCCCGATGCATGTGGGTGACCCCTTATGCACGTGCCACGTGCAAAACGAAGAGGTGTCAGTTTTGCAATTGTTGCAATATCTCGGTAACTACTGGGCCGATTGCGCTCAAAGTTGGCATGTAGGTAGGCACCCACTAGGCACTGCATATGCATGTGCCAGACTTGGGGTGCTGCTGCACGTGCGCACGTGCAGGGGTCGTTTCCAGATCTCGAGAACGGCTGGACCGATTGCGCTCAAATTTGGTACACAGTTAGGGACCGGTTAGTAGGGTGCCGTGCACAAGTCAGTTATGACCCATTTTGCACGTGCGCACGTGCAGGGTGCCGCTTCCAGATCTCGAGAACGGCTGGGCCGATTGTGCCCAAATTTGGCACATCGCTAGAGACCGGTTAGTAGGGTGCCGTGCACAAGTCAGTTGGAGGTACCCCCTCGAAATTCCGCACGTGCAAGTCCCACCCTCTCGCTCGCTCCGTTAGTCGCCCCAAAAGGCGTTATACTGGTTTTACCGGATGTTGATGTATGTATGCTCATAAACAGATGCATGCATCTAAACCACACGAGCGCCGAATTAAATATGTCACGTGAATGGGATTTTGTGAACATTCCTAATGTCACGAGATGGCGTGCATCCCAAGGTGCATCCGGTGGGGTAACGCGCGATTTACACCAATAATGTTCACCCTCGTCATTGAAGTCAACTTTGTGTTCAATTAGTTGGGTTGACTTCGGCGTGGACCCTTTGGCTACCTCACTTTTTGGCACTGGATGGCATTGGCAAGTGTGCGTAACATTGCTGGGTTAGTGCGTGGATCGTTCAGTAACGGGCTTCACATCGATCGTTGGATAAACTTCGAGCCAAAGATGGAGCTCGAAGCTGCATAGTGAACTTCTGAATTCAGCAGGGCGACATTACAAATTTATCCACTCGACTTATTACAGGTAAGGCTGGGAAGTAACGGTCTTCGAATTTGCGGAATGTGTACTTTGTAATGTGATTGTCGTTGCTGAATGGGGAGCAACCAGTTACGAAGCAAATAAGGGGAACGAGCGTCGAGCTATTCTTGTTGTCCTAAGCGATTCGGTATTGTATCCAGCATACCGTCTTTCATCACTGGTTCCATACTTCCCTGGGTTAACATTTATCCATCATTCATAATAGCTACGCATCAAGGTTTTATGTTTTACGTCTTGCAGTGTTATACTGGTGTTGGATGTTCCGTTATTTGAATGCGATAGGGCATTGACCACATAGGTATTGACGTAATAACTCAATGTCCACTGAAAGTACTTTTATTTCAGAGGAAAGCCGCCTCATAATTCGCATCACTCCGACACTGTACAGCCCTCTGCAAACTGCGTGGTAGGTATTCTTTTTTCGACTAAAACGAGAATAATGCGCATACTATGCTATCGGTCATTCGCAAATCGTAACAGGAAGACACGCGAGACTTCGCACCTTAGATTGGCATCATCACCGTATTCATTTTCCTTCTAGTTCGACAACAAAATCCAAAAGTTTATATTTGCCCCCAAAACAAACTTTTGCATTTTGTTGCCACACAAGGCGTATGCTTTGTTTAGTGATACACCTAATCGAAGGAGTGGAGCATGGCGCATCTATTTGCAGTGAGTTCTGACCGACTGATAGCATAGCCTCTGAGTTATTACCGGTTTTGTCGAAAAAAGAATACCTACCACGCAGTCTGCTGAGGGCTGTACATTCCATTAAATTGCTTGGTAGCGTATACAATGTGCATATTCGTGTAAGGTCTGAGTCTTTCATTCGTGGGTTTGAAAAAGGTCATTATACAGACGCCGCCGTCCTGAACTTTGATGGCACACAGTGTGTGTGTCTGTACCGGATGACAAAAACGCTCGACGCAGTGGATTATCAGCGGCAGCGGCTGGCTCAGTTCTCATGGTATGAAGGTCAGCGCTGGTAATACCAGGCCTATTGTCTCTCTGTCGTGAAATACTCAGCGGCTGTTTTTATTAGCCAGGACAAATTATGTTTTCTGACAACGGTAAAGAAAGTCATGAAACATCGTAGGCTGGAGAGGGATGCCACTTTCCACGTTTTTTTTCTCGCGAACTTCTCTCATCATGCATGACCTTATGAATTTGGTAAATTATAACACGTAGGTTTGCTACGAAGGGTGCGCAAAAAGATACCGTAGACGAGTAGTCGTATGGCCAGCGAATTTTTCCCATTCTTCGCCACCTCACCGGACTTGCACACTATACACTTACAGACATTACCACGTGGTAATGGCTGCAATGGTCCGGACAGTACACACTGCAGTGAGCTGCCGTGAGCGCAAACTGCTAAGTCAGCTGGTAAGCTGCTAACCAATGTATCGTCCTCCAGGCAGTGCGCAATGCTGGTGTGTGAATCCCGTCTCTGACGTCTCCCGTACAATCCTCTGTGCCACAGGAGCCGGCGTGCGAGCAGTGTCAGGCGGTGGGCGGCGCCCATCCGCCACCAGAGCACCTGCTCAAACGCATCTGTGACGTGGAGCGCACCGAGTGGGGCGACTTCCTCACGGCCATCGACGACGCCAAGGCCAAGGTGGGCAGCCGGGCGGACTGGGAGTGGTCACTGGGGCGGCACCGGGAGCTGGGCTGGCTATCGAGCGCTGCACGGGGCGCAGACTGATGTGATGTGATATTACGACACTCATGAGTCCTGACATTGTGTAATGCTGCTGTCCTGTCTCTCCTTTTTCTCTCATCTGTCATTCTTCATTCTCCCATTCTCTCTCCCTCATCCTCTCCCTCCCTCTTTTTCTGTCTTTTTATCTATTTCTTCCTTTTTCAGTGCCTCCAATCTGTTTTCCATTCTGACAGCAATCCTCCACTGTCACTAGCGTACTGGTGGGCTGCCGCCTCGCCCTCAGCTGTGTACCTCATGCTTAGCGTATTGAACCGCTGGTATTGCGGCGCCGGCCCGGTCTGACCCCTGTTCATCCCCTCCGCACAGAGGAAACAGATGGACAGCACGGGTAACGGCGTGCAGTCGGCGCTGGAGCAGCTGCAGGCGGCGCACGAGCGCTGCTGTCGCCAGATCGAGCAGCAGTTCGAGGCGGTGCAACGTGCCGTCACCGAGCACCATCAGCGGCTGAGGCAGCGCTGCGACCAGCTGCACAGGCAGAAACGCGACCTCGTCTGGGACGTGGGCGAGCGCTGCCACACGGACAAGGCGCGTCTCGAGCAGGCGCTCAGGTGAGGAATACGAACCGGGAGGATTGGGTGTGCGCTGGATCGTGTGGCCATCCGGAATACTACGGCGGCGTGGTGTAAATCTGCAGACTTGGCTGATGCATTCAGACGATGTGTCTTAAATGATTCGTTGAACAACATAAGAGCAGTGTCCCAAATGTGGTGATTTGGGTGGGAAACTACATCCAAATAAAATCATTTTTCACTTTCATCTCTAATTTTCAAGAACAATTTTCCACTCCCAATTTTACCAGCAAAAGACATTTGCATGGATGCTCTTTTTACATCTTACATTTTACCACACTTGTACATAAATTTATGCCATTGATCCCTTTTCACTCTTTTTGGGCCTTATCTGACTGGCAATTTTCCACTCTTATCCCCATTTTTGGAGAGGAACTTCCCCTCTGACACCCAAGCCCAAACACAATTTTGGGATACTGCACAAGAGGCATAGCCGTGAACGTTTTAAAAACACGACACTGAGCTAGTAAAAGCCATCCGTAGCCGTTTCCCAATCGGTCAGTCGCTGTGACCATGTTCTGACCGACCTATGTCCCGCCGTCGCAGGCTGGCCGACCGTCTGGTGGAGTTCGCCAACAGCGCCGAGCTGCTCTCACTGAAGCCGGTGCTGGTGGAGAGGATGCGAGAGTCCACCCAGGTGACCCAGCTGCCTCGCGACCTCGACCTGACCTTCGTCTGTCAGCCCGACTCGGTGGATGCCACCGTCAAGGTCAGTTGAGTGGAGTGAATTTTTGTGGAGTGGATGGTGGACGGTTGCATAGAAAGTCTTCCTATCGCTAAACACGAATGTTTAGTTGGCTTGTTTTGTTGGACAGTAGGGATCACGTCGTCATGCCTGCATTTCTTACTGTCACTGCTTGAGGTGTATGTTGACAGTTTCGCTGTTGTGTAAGACAAATAATACTTTTTTTCGTAACTATAGTCGGCGTTTCTGAGGCAGTTTCATACCGTCCAGCACTGAACTGGACCGGACCGCGGCCATCCGTCGTTTGTGTCACCGCCCCCGTTGTCCGCTGCCGCCGGTCCCGTCTGACCCATCTGTCTGTCTGACCGGACAGGCCATGATGGGCCACTTCCTGGAGGACGCCCCGCCGCCGCCGCCGCCGCCGCCGGCTCCGGTCGCCGCCGTGCCGCAGCCGCCGGTGGGCGCGGCAGCGGCCGTGTCCCGCCAGCAGCCGGCCCTCACCCGCTCCCCGCCGGAGGGGCGTGTTCAGAGCGGACCGCTGCCGCCGGCGGCACGGCCTTACTCGCGACAAAACACCACCATCTCGCCCGTGGAGGCCGACATGCCGCCCTTCAGCGCCGGGTAAGGCCGGTCGATGTGCACAAAATGGGATGTTTGGGACAGTACCGAGTGAGATGTATGTACGGGGGTGTTAGTCGGGTAAACGTGACACAGGCTTTGGGGAGAATGATGGTAATGGGATGTGGTAATAGACTAGGTAGAATTATATTGCAGTGTGACACATTTTGCACAGTGCACAGCTTAGCCACATCAGCTGAGTTTATAGTGACCATGATCTATGTGACCAATTTTGTGATGTGCTTTCGTCCCTTGAATTGTTATGTGACACGGGTGAGTCGTCATGTCAAACACCACCAGTATCTGCTCACTGTGCGCCCCACCTCACCACCATCCCGTAGCATCTCGATCCTGTCTGATGTGTATGTTTACGGTGCACGGCGGCAGGTATAACTCCCTCTCGTCACCCAGTCTGCCGTCGCCCATCAACGGTCTGGGCAGCAGCAGCGGCATCGGCAGCAGCCTGAGCAGCCTGTCGGGCGGCCACAACGGCGGCCCGCTGGCGCTGGGCCCGTCGCCGCCGCCGCACCCGGGCCAGCCGCCCATGCTGTCGGCGCTGGCGGACGGAGGGTTCCGGCTGCCGCAGCCGCCGCCCTCCTCGGCCGACCGCGCCGCCACCGCCGCCGCAGCGGCCGCCGCCGCCGCTCAGCTCTACGAGAGGTACGGGCCGTTTTCAGATCCGGCTGTTAGCTGTAAAAGACCTCTCATGGTAATAAATTAAGCTGCTGGCTCAAACTATAGTTTTGAACTTGGAGGTACTTGTTCTCAACCTTTTGTTTTCTGATCACCGTACGTTACTGTCTACTCCTATCGATTTGGCTCTACCTTCCCCTGGCAGATGTGTTTCTATCGTGATCAATCTCAACATGTCCCCTAGTAAGTGTGCGTCTGCCTAATGACCCAGTATATCACCTCGTCTGCGCACAGGTCTCAGAGCTTCCACGAGCCGTCGTACGGCAGTGACATGTCTCCCAGCCTGCCGCTGGACTTCCTCAACTCGGGCTCTCAGATGGCGCTGCAGAACATCAAGGCTCTGGCGCGGCTGGGCAGCACGGGCGGCAGCGGCGGTGGGGACCTGATTGACGGCTTTCTCAGCGGTCGCGGCCACGCGCCGCCGCCGCAGCCGCCGCCGGCCGCCATCTCGCCCATGATGGCCGCAGCCGCAGGTGAGCTCTCGAGGGCGAGTGGCGGTCAAGGGCCAAAGGACAGGGTGTGACGGTTGACTGTTGATTTTGGGACCGCTCAGTCTGAGGTGTGGCTGTGATCTGGCCTTCAACCGTGAAATCGGGTGGTGTCGCGATCTTTTCAATGTCTGATTTATAGCAAAATGATATCAGTTATCAATACATCCATGCATGAATGGATCAACAATATGTTGTTTGAATGCATGACCGGACAACTCTGTGCATGTAACAGACCACACAACCGTGTAATGTGTAATAATGGGTATGTGATCACCCTTCTGACGCGTATGAGTGGGTGTGTCTGCAGGTGACGGTATGATGGGCCGCTCGGGTCTGCAGTCCCTGCGCGGTATATCTCCGTCTGGACCAGCCAGCCCTCTACTGGGCGCCGCCAGTCCGCTGCTCGGCCACAACGGCTTCGCCATGCCGCCAGGTCAGTGTTCGCGCTCCTGTGCAGCTGCTCTGCAGTATATCTTCGTTTGTTGGCTCATTGACACTCTCGCATTATGTGCACGTCGCCATGTCCCCAGCTGATCGGCTGCGCTCCCGTGTACCCTCTAGTCTATTTGTATGTACGAGTATGTAACCCCAGTGCTACTCTTGCGTCCTGCGTTTCGCTGGGATGTGTAACGTGCTGCTGTAATACCTTTATGCGACCGCTCCCTTCCTGCTGTGATGCCCTATGCGACCGCGCCTCCTCCCCTTTGCCTGCAGTGGGCGGCGGCGGCGGCAGCGGCACCGTGTCTCCGACGCCGCGCCGCGGCGCCGGCTGCGGCTCGGCCGTCAGCAGTATGCAGATCCGCGCCAAATTCGGGCAGCTGGGCCAGCTGAAGGGCCAGTTCAACTCGCCTCACGGCTTCTGCCTGGGCACTGATGAGGAGATTATCGTGGCCGACACCAACAACCACCGTATCCAGGTGAGAATCAGAGTTGCTGGCGGCCTCGGCACGTACCGTGACTCGAGCACAGCTAGAACTCACGCTGGTCAGGAATAATGTACGGGTAGTTTGGACCACATTTTACATTTACGTTTTTTAAAGATAAATTTAGTCCGAACTTATTGATCGGAAGGATTCACAAGGACAGAGCCCCCGCTAAGCGAAGCTTGTTGCGTTGACCCTGCCCTCTACCCTCCGATGACGCAATTCCGGTGCTATGGCAGAATTTAGAGTCCAAAGTTTAACGTGCGCACATAGCCGCGCACGGCCGGTCCCCTCACTGACTTCTCCTGGCTACGGCCTGCCACCAACCGCAATCATACCTGTCAGGAGGCCCATAAACGTCAAGCGCCCGTCGCGCCTCGAACCCGGACTGTTGTAACCGGGAACGCGTGCTCTCACTACGCGGAGCCCAACGCTCTACCGACTGAGCTACGGGACCGGCATGCGTTATTTTCACACTAAGCTAATTTCAACTTATCTTATCAAAAGTACAATTTATTTGTGCTCTCTGGCAAATTGGTACGAGCGTTCGTTGACTCTTCCTTTCCCTCTGTTCCATCTGACAGATGTTTGACAAGACGGGCGAGTTCAAGTACATGTTCGGCTCGCCGGGGAAGGACGAGGGCCAGCTGTGGTACCCGCGCAAAGTGGCCGTCATCAGGTCGTCGGGAAAGTTTGTCGTCTGTGACCGCGGCAGTGAGCGGTCGCGCATGCAGATCTTCAACCGCAACGGCTACTTCGTCAGAAAGATCTCCATTCGGTGAGTGTGAGGCGCGGGACTAAGCCGGTTCGAGGAGTGACTCGACGTCTCGTCTGGGGCAGTTCGTCTGCTGGTCCTGTGTTGTCTGATTCTGATTCTGAGTCTTATTCTCTCGCCGCACGTCTTATAATGTTGTCCTGAGGCGACCTCGCCAGTGGTCTCCGTAATGTGATTGTGTTTGTGCCTGTATCCGTTTACCAAGCTCAAATGCTGTATCTTCGTTCGATCCAGTGTATTTGCCATCTCATACTAATCATGCATCCGTCTCCACAGCTGCATCGACATAGTGGCCGGCCTGGCCATCTCCAACGCTGGCCACATCGTGGTGGTGGACAGCGTCACGCCGACCGTGTTCGTAATCGCCGAGAGCGGCAGCCTGATCAAGTGGTTTGACTGCAGCAACTACATGCGCGAGCCGTCCGACATCGCTGTCAGCGGTGAGTCATAGACGGCGTAACTGATCAACGAACTGAACATTCCTAAACTTTTGTGTCATGTCTGCACTGCTTCTGTGTCTCATGTGTAGCGTGTCTCATACGTGGTGGGAACTGACATGTCTGTTCGTGCTGATAAAGCGTGTTGTTATCTTCCGGACAGGTAACGAGTACTACATCTGCGACTTCAAGAACCACTGCGTGGTGGTGTTCGACTCGGAGGGCCAGTTCGTGCGCCGACTGGGCTCCGAGACCATCACCAACTTCCCCAACGGCATCGACGTCTCCGACGCCGGCGACGTGCTCATCGGCGACTCGCACGGCAACAAGTTCCACGTGGCTGTGTTCAGCCGCAACGGACAGCTCCTCTCAGAGTTTGAGTGTCCGCACGTCAAGGTGAGTGGCCGTGGCGCGGCGCGGCCTCGGGGCCGTTGCCTAGTGTGAGTGTAGGAGAGAGTTAGTGATGAGGGGTGAGTGAAGGCTCGATGGATAGCTGCTAGGATCTGGCTGACCCCCGTCCTTTCGCCAGGTATCGCGCTGCTGCGGCCTCAAACTCACCCACGAGGGCTACATTATCACCATCGCCAAGAACAACCACCACGTGCTGGTGCTGAACACCCTGTACATCGCCTAGACGCCGTGACGGCGGCGGCAGCGCTGGCCGGCGGGCCGCCCGGCCCCTCCCGGGCCCCGCCGGCCGGCCGGGCCGCCAGCCAGCGCGCCTCAATCCCACACCGCCACTGACAGGGACTGGCATAAATCGGTTGCTCAATTGTCTGGCTTTCCGCGCGTCCGCAGTATTTTTGCATCCACCGATGTCAGATGCCTTGTTGTTTGTTAGCGTTTTTGCCCGGTTTTTTGCCGCGCCTGCGCGTGAACAGGGTCGGAGCCGGCGGCTGGGCGGCGTCGGGCGTGTTTTCGCGCCGCGCGCGCCGCCCGCCGCCGTGGGCCACGCTCGTCTAATACTCAGCCCACTGTGTCGTCCCCCGTAGACTGCAGCAGCAGCGTACCCCGTCCCTGACCGCCCGCGCCCCGGCGGCCGGCCCTGTACCAAGGATCTCTTCGAAGAAATGTGATGTTTGTGCCACGCCCGTCTCCGAGCGCGGGGACGGAGCCGGCCGTGTCTACACGCGGCTGCCGACAGACGCGATCCGACGCGCGTGAACAGACACACGCACGGACAGTGCGCGCGCGTCAACGAGTGCGTGTGTGAGAGCGTGTGTGCTCAGTCGGGTTCTGGGTTCGTCGCGAGTGCGTGAGTGACCGGAGGCGTGCAGCGGCGCCTCCGCAGTTCGTTGGTGCGTTCGCGCGCCGCCCCTAGGTTAGTGAAGCGTGCGTGAGTGGGACGCCGGCCGGCGACCGGCGGCCGCGCGGAGACCTGTCCCGCGGCCGGCACTGACCAAAGATGACCGATTTCTTTCACTGGTGTGGCGGGTGTGCCCGCGCGCGCAGACGAATGATAATGTTACCTAGTCTTCGATAGTCACGCGTGCCGTGGCAGCGGCTGCGGCGGTGGCGCGCCCCGAGCCACATCGTTCCTAGCGCGTGTCTGCCGGTAACCCTGCTGCTTTCTACTTAGCGCGCCGCCGGCCCAAGGACGGGCTGGCCGACCCGCATTTAGCGTGGGCGATGGCGACCTACGGTACTCACGGCCCCCCGCGGGCCGACCGATGGCGCCGCGCGCACCCTATACATAGCTGTCTGGTGACCTATAATCAAACCACGTGATAAGAGCGTCCTTAATTAGTGTTTGTTACCGATTAGTCGGTCCTGTTTTCTTTTCGTTTACAGATATACAAGTTATTGGCAACCGTTTAGCCTTAGCCAGTAGATCTTCCCGCATTCTATCTAATTTTACTGTCCGCTTCCTTTTTCTCGATCATTAGCAACATTGTATAGCGATGGCAGTTTACCGTTTATGAAGCGTTCGTATTAGCATGGGTAGGGGTCCAGTGATGATCGTTATACAAACTTGTTTGGTGCATTTTGTGCAAACATTGCTGTATTATATGTCTAAAATATTCGCGTCGGGCCAGCTGGTAAAATCGCCGTATGTATTTATACGATTTTGCGAGTGTCCGGTTTATCGATGTTGAGCTGCGGCGCGTGGTTGGCTCGACGCAAGCGAGCCGGCAATCTGGGCTAGTTAAATTTTTGTAGCTCTTTTGGCCGGGGGCGGTGTTGCCCCCGGTCTGCGCCCTGGCCGCAACCGAGTGTCTCCAGTGAACTGGCAACGTCAACCATTCCATCCAGGCTGGCGGCGGCGGCGACGCGGGCGGCGGCGGGGGCGGCCGGACGGCGAGGCGGGCCGTCCGGCCGCCGCCGCCGTGCCAGTCTTCCAGAGCGCCGCTCCGCCCGGCGGCCGCCGCCGCCCGCCGCTGCGCCCATGTGTAATCGTTAATCTCATCTCTTGGTGTGAGCGCGCCCGCGCGCGTGCAATTGTCCGTGTTTTGGTGTGCGAGTGAGCCGACTAGTCGCCCGGCGGGAGGCGCGGCAGACCGCGCGCAGCACGCCTTGTAGAAGCAGGTGTCTCCTGTCGCCGAAACGCTTATGTGCCCTTTTGAAACATATCACAGGCTCGTTTCCATAAGGCAGGCGGGCGGGCGGGCGCGGCCGGGACGCAGCAGGGTAGGCGGCGCAGACACGGCGCGCCGCGCGCACCGTCTCTGCACTGTGCGTGTGCGTGTGTGTGCCTGCGGGCGCTCGTGCGAGTGAGTGTGCGTAGCCGAGACGGGCCGGTCGCGCAGTGGCGGCCGGCCCGTGCCCTTCTTATTGCAATGATATTGTGCACTCTTCTCTCTTTCTCTTGGTGATTTCCACATTCAGGTAATGTTTGCTAGTAGCTTTAGCATTTTATTATACATGATTGATTTTATTTTCAGTTTCAGGCAAGAGAGTACAAATTCAGTTACACCGTTTTTACCAACAAACTATGCCTAATTAGAGCTTGTATTTTAAGTCAGGAGGCAATGCGTGTGCTGTGTTAGTGAGTTAACCGGTGTTTTAGACACGTTATTCGTCTTATTTTATGTTTGGACTGGTGTGTTTCGGCAAATGTTAACAAGTTACTGTTACGTTCGTATGTAATCCCGTTGTTCTCCTAGAGGCGCTTTGTTCCGTTTAATTCCATTTACGAGTTCGAATAAAAATTACAAAATTCCCGCCGTGTGTTTTCGTTTGTCGGTCGGTTGGGTTAAGTTTAGAGAAGCAGTTTTGTTTCTGGGAACTCTTCACTGTCGTCGTCTCGTGGCTTTTCTGACTCGGACAGGCCAGACGGCACCGGGAGGATGCCGTGGAGTTGCATTGGAGACTCCGTCTGTCCCTGAATAGATGTCAGTCGAGAGGGTCTGTAGGAGACGGGAGTGCGGTAAACAACTTCAGGCAGCTGCTGCCGCTGCACTGTAGAAGGGAGCATCGGACCACTAAAATACATGTCACTCCTGGGTATGTGAGCTTCAGGATCACCAAAGACACGGGTAGGTAGGGCGATGCGAAGCTGAAATCGGCCTGATCAGCGTCACCTTTTGGTCATTGGTGAACAGTCACTCTCAAGCGCTGGCGACCGTCTGTTCACCCCACGATGAAATATAAATATACGGTCAGTGTCACTACCCTAAAACAGAGTCCTGCAACCGCCTTTGACTAGTGAGATTGTGTGTTAATGCCTCGTAACCAGCCTTGCCTCAGCATTGGCACTGGCGACGCCCGTACCGATTGGTCTTGGGCCCTGGTGGCAGTACTCAGTCACATCAAGTTTGTAGCGATTCCGCAATGCATCATCTTTTCGCGTACCGCGAGGCAGTATAGCTGTGTCTGCACTATGCATCACCTTTCCGAAGCAGCCCTGTGTGTATACGCCTCAGAAGGCCCAGATCTCGAGACCCGTCAGCTACAGTTGGTTCCCGTGTCCATCAGTTGGTATTCACCCCACCATTCAACAAGCACATTTCAACAGTGTGAACACACACCGACATACAGTTAAGCAACGCAATTTAAAGATACTACAGCATCTCGGGCGGCAACAGAAAATTATGCACAAATCAGAAATATAGCTTGTTAAAACTCAACTAGCTGGTAACTCAGGCGTTACAGCTAACTACGAATAAGATCTTCACGCTGACCGGCGGCCGACGCAACGACATCGAGCTTTCGCGAAACACTCAGCCAACAATACTGTCACGTTTTAAAAACGAACGCGGGGCCGCGAGGTCGTGTAAACTCGGCACCACATTTTTGCCACCTATTGCACAAAAATGTCCGCATAGTTACACCAGTCCAGCAAAGCTGCCCTCTAAAACATACTCCATTGACACTCGACAACAGATGATAAAATACCCGGCCGCGGCAGCTCCGGCGTCAAAGGCGGCGGCGCAGTTAATTGATTTGTTTCCGTCGGGGGCGGGTCGCGCGCGACTTTGTTCGTCCGGCGCGCGGCAGTGGAGCACGGCAGACGCCCCTGGGGCGGCTCCGCCACCGCCATCCTCACATTCTATCTCCCGCGGGTGCACGCAGGACACAGGCTTACGTGCGTCACCCACACGTGCACACAGAGGGGCCGAAGGCGCCGCGCCGCGCGTCCGGGAAGCGTATTGGCGCCAGTGTCGACCGCTCCGGTCCACTGCCGCGAGGAATGTGTGTGCGCCACGGACAGCCGGGCGGAGGGCGTGAGGGGCGGCCGCCGAGCGGTGCGCGCCTCGCCAGTTCGCTCGCACGTGTAGACCACACTCTCCCTCCCACACAGGCACGCGCGCGCACATTATGGGGCGTCCAACAGCAGCACCGGCGGCTAGTCCTACATGACTGGCGGCGGGCCCGGCGCGCTGGCAGCCCGGCAGGGACGGCCGGCGGCCGCAGGGCACACATAGGAGGCGAGCGGGGAGAGACGCGGACTGCGGGCGGCGGCGACAGCAGCGGCAGCGGCAGCGTGGCGACCTAGCTGGAGTTCTTCAGCTCGGGGCTCGACGTGAGGTACTGGTCGGGACGTTTGTGCTCGTTGAGCGCCTTCTGGGTGTGCAGGTCCTGCGGCAGCTCAGACTTTTTCCGCAGCAGCGGCTTGGGCTTGCCCTGAGGTGCCTTGGCCAAGCCCTGTAAGAGAGATCACCTGTCAGCGTCCGTGTTATCATGATGAATTAAGACAAAGGTGAAGGCCACAAAAATCGCTCTACTTTAGCAAATGAGGCAAAAGCATCTGAAGGCAGTAGACAAATTGCTCGTAACAGTTTGTCTGCTCGTAAAACTTATGCTCCACGCCTACCCGATCGTAAGTAATTCGAAGTTTCCCAAGAACAGCCATCCTCATTGGATCAGACAGACGATTCCATGGATGGTCACAATTACGAGGTTCGAGTTTCCCTAAAGCCCGAGCAACTTCTCGTCTCCATTCTAGTTCGTGACATCGCTGTCCAACATGAACACATGAACACGTAACAGCAACAGCTGCACGTAACTTGAACAATAAGCATATCCCGATGCCAACAAATAAGACCCCACAAGGTGGAAAATCAATAATCACGGCATTTTCTGAGTGCAACAATTTATTATTATGCGATAACTTGGCCGATCGAAGCCATCAAATAATGGCCTGCCTATAACATACGCCACCATCACCAGTCAAGAGAACTTCAACCTTTCCGAGCCATTAGACTAAATTTGTAGCTCACATGATCGCGTGGTTTATATGCTAATCCCTCTGAAATATTGGTTCACTCAAACCCTCCGACAGAATGAGGCAAATTATGCAAAGCGCTCAATTTGGCAACGAATTGCAGCCGCCCAATGCTGCAATGCGTCTTGGCCCGTTGACAATAAATGGCCTCAACAATCTAAACTACACCACTGAGCCCGAAGACCCCGCCGACGAGCCAGCTGACCTCCCGTCCACACTTGGTTGACAGAACTGGTAAACCGGCCGTGTGCTTCTACAGGAGAGGGTGGCACGGTTGGAACAGCCTAGGTGATTTTTTTCAATACGTCAATTATCCCGATTTCAACATAAATTGCCAACATAAAAATGATCCCAAATATCCTTGACGTTATATTACCAGATCCCCACAAAGACATAAATGCGTCGTAGGATAGCGTGTAGTGTAGGTATTACTTGTTATGCTATAAGATAATGCGTAACGGATGAGGCAGAGGCGGATAATTACACAGATAATTACTTAGTTACATGGACTGTGTCCGTCTGTGGCTGGCTAAAACAAACTTATAGGCTGAATTGTAACACTACAACACAAATTAAGGCCGTTGGTTTCCAAATTAACAAGTAGTTTGCGGTTAACAAGGCAATTTCTATGCAATCTTCAAGCTTCATTTGGGGCAGAACACCGAGAGAGAAGTCGCAACAGCTCCCATCCCCAGTCGTCCCTCGGCCTGGACGTAAAAACCGTTCAGTCGGCCAGTGATTTAAGCCGGCCACCGCCGCCGCCACGGCCGTCGAGCGGGAAGGTCACTGAGCCGGGTCGATACTGTCCCAATGAACCGGCCACCCGATTGGCGTCTGTCGCTGCCGGCGGTGACCGGCGGCCGACCACTCACTCGCACACGTCGGACGGCGGCCAGACCGACTTACGTCGCCAAATACCGCTGGCACATCACTTTGAACCACAGAAGCCCGGGATCAATCTCTGCACCAGCTGACCCCAGGTAAATACGCAGAGATTACAGTAAGGTGCAGTCTTACCTGTTAGGGACAGAATCGGGACGCAGGACGATGGGTGGTATCATCGGACCAAGGATAGGTGGCTGGATGGAGCTCTCGGCCGCCGAGGGACACTCTCCTGCCGAGAACGAACAAAATGAAGGCGGTCCATGAGGGAACAGGACATGGACACGGACAGGAGACTGACAGGACAAGACATATTCAGCGCTGACAGAGCTGCGGATTTTGAGTTGCGGTGTTAGTAGGCTAAGGCATCAGCGAACGGGCAAGGACGAGGAGGGGAGGTACGTTGTCCTGGAGAAAATGGTATCAAAGATGGCGTTATACGTCAGGCCGCGTTGACCACGCACCTGTTTCGCCTCGACTTTGATCTTCTCCGGGTCGATGGGGCCGTCGTCGTCCTCCTGCTCCCCGTCGACTCCGTCGGCCCCATCTGAAGGCGCGCCGCCCGCTCCGTCAGCGAACGCCGGGTAGTGCGGGCTGCGCACCGCCAGCTCTTCCACCTTGCGCCACGCCTCCTCGTGCATCCGCTGGCGCTCGCGCTCCCTGTGTAACGGCGGCGGACGGTTAGAGGGTGGACACACGGTCAGGGTCCGGTCAGCTGGCAGACTTGAGCAGTCTGCCTCTGATCAGCCTCGATTATACAGCCCAGCTTAGAACAGCTAAAGTACTGGAAACTAGCTACAGCCCGGCTCCGGTCGGACGGCAGTCAGATCGTCCAGCCCTTGAACCAGTGTCCCAAAATTTGTAGATGTGGGTGGCAAACGACATTCAAATGAAAATCATTTTCCACTCTCGCCTCCAGTTTTCAAGTCCAATTTTCCACTCCCAATTTCACCGAGAAGGAGCAACCGCGTGAATGGTTGTTTTGCATCTGTCACTATTGTATTTAGATTAATGTTTTTGATCATTTTCCCACTCTTTTTGGGCCTTACCATGACCAACAATTTTTCACTCTCATTCTTTTTTTGGTCAGCAATTTCCCCCTCTGACACCCAAGCAAAAATATAGTTTTGGGACACTGCCTTGAACGGGAACGACGATTCCAGACACCTACGCTGGCCCGGGGCTCGGCATACAACCAGACACATCAATACCAGCTCAACCACCACGCCAGGCACCGGATGGTACCGAAACACAATATCGACAGTTGCATTACTCAACTGACGCAATCGCTGGGTCTTGTAAACTTACGGATCGATACGAACCAACGTTTGTCTATCGCTTGACTCTTATCGGGTCTTCCAGCTATTGGTTCGTTTAATTGGACAGTTAATCGCAGTTCTATCGTATACATTTCTGCCATCCGCCTTAAATTAAGCTCTGTGTGTAAAATGACTCAGCGGCGGCAGCGGGCACTGTGGACCAGACTTCGCTGGTGTCTCAACTCTCAGCGGAGCCGAATCGGGTAGGACCTCCGGGCTGGGCCGCCTCAATGCGACGGCTCGGGAGTTTGACCACCGGGCTGAACAACTGCGTATGCAGCGCTAGGCCGCCCACTACCAAGAGCAACCCGCGACTTCAGTCATAAGCTAGTGGCACTGAGTGCAACCATACAGAGACAGATTCTGTTTGCCAACCGTGCCCATTACTATCTGCGTCATTTCGTCGCTTTTCTCCTATCACTTACTTTTGCTTTTCTAGCTTGCTTTGCTGTGTGCAGTCGTCGAAGAGCTTCTGGTTCATCTCCATAAACAGCTTCAGTGCGTTGTAGATGAGACCATGAATCGTCCTGAAACGTACAACGGAGTCGTGCTTCACTGACCAGATGCAGACGAAGATGCAGACAAAGACGCACGGCATAACACGACCCGATAATTGCGCCCATAATTAACATTGGTAGGTTACCTCGTCCCAAATACAATTGTAACGCTTTCATATGCTCCTTGCGCGGCCTATGTATGATTTAGCTGCTGTGGTTCTCTCACAACGCTCTAAACAATGCCTCCGCTCCATCAATGCTGACAGGTCTATTATGATTCTAACGGATCCGGTTCCGACCACACAACAAATGCTGGCAATGCGATCAATGTATGAATGACTCACTTGTTCCAGTGGGACTTTGAGTTTTTGTAGAGCACCGGGAACATGATTGGCAGGATGACGGTGGCGTTCTCCGTCATCAGTGACATGATGTACTCGTTGTTCCAGTAGTAGAGTGCCCGCTCCGCCACCTGATGGGACGTCAACGCCGCATTAGTTCACCGATACGTCGATACCACGGCGCACATCATTGGCACATCAGACAGTAGAGGATGTTGAGGCAGGAGCAAGACGTTTCAAACGTTACCGAGCACAGCGAAACTTCGCACGGTTCATATCAATTACTTAACCCGCGCGGGGCTGGGGTCTCCATCCGAACGCGCGGGGCTGGGGGGGGGGGGGGTAAATTTTACCCCCCCTGTTATCTCCCGAACTAATGGTCCGATTTGGAAAATTCAAACGCCAATCGAAAGCTCTCATCACGAACTACTAAAAACATGTACTTAATTTAAAGTTTGAGGTCAAGGTCAAGGTCAGGTCAAGGGTACAAATTGCAAGTTTCTACAGTATCGGCCTTGCACCGTAGTTGCCGAAGAATGGAGTCATGGACTGAGACTGATCGCCCAAAACGTGTTCTTAGGCTACCAAGACAATATTCGTTGCATACAATATCATTCAGAGGTCAAGGTCAAGGTCAGGTCAGGTCAGGTCAGGTCACCAAAAAACAAAATATAGAAAAGGGCATGTGCGACACATGTTTTATGGGTCATTTTACTCATAGAATTCAATAGGCACACTCAATAAGTGATATGGACCACCTCTGGATGAATTTCAGGTCGAGGTCAGGTCAAGGTCAGGTCAAGTGAGGTCAAATTTTGAAGTTGGTTGTTAAGGTCTAAAAAGGTGTCTATCTGATGCAGTTTTTCACGGCGAATCGAATGGTGCTATTTTTGTTTCCGTACGAGGTCTAGAACTTCCAAAAAAGTCATTTTTCAAAAAATTTGTGTGTCGTGACGTCATAAAATTTTGAATAACTCCCACATTTTTGAAGCGATTCTTCTAAAATTTGGTATGTATGTGCACATAGACCACTTCTCTGACATATATTCCGGTTTTTTCGATAGACTCAAAATTTTGGATTTTATAATGATTTTCCCAAAAAAGTCAGTTTTTTGAAAAAAATTAGGCCAAAATCCAAAATTTTCAAAAAACCGAGATAGCCATTTGATAGACGAAGTAAAATTACGTATAACCTTTTTTGTTACGTCTTAATTCCTTTAAAAATGAAGATGTTAGCGGCGTTTGAACTTTTGCCGTTTTTGAGGCGAAAATGGCGAACATGACGTCACTAAAACGTCAATTTCTCAAAAATTTTCCGACGGATTTCGCTCAAATTTTCAGGGAATGTGTCAAATTGATGTAAGAAAAGGTACTGAAAGTTTGGCGGCGCTGCGCGCCGCCGTTTTTGACATATCGCAAAAATTCGCGAGGGGGGGTAAAATTTACCCCCCCCCAGCCCCGCGCGGGTTAAGTCATCTGTCAAGACCAACTTCTTCATTTGGCTCAAGTCGGCGTGATTCGCCCAGGGTTCCAACGCCGGCAATCAGTCTCTCTAGCCAGCCGTCCGTCACACCCACCTGGAAATGTGGCGAGGCCACGCAGCTGGCAATCTGCTGGAAGAGCGGCTTGATGACGCGCTGGAACTCGGCCGGCTCCATCACGTCCAGGATCTCCTCCAGTTCGTTCAGGAACATCACCTCCTTGGGACTGTGCGTCTTGGGCCAGTACTTGAGCAACGCAAGTATCACCGGCTCCGTCAACGACGGGTCCTTCTCCAGAAACTGGCGGCAGGAAGGGCAGGCGGTGTCAGACAGTGCAGTGGTTAGCGCGTGTCATTTCGGGTAAACCGGGGGATGTCAAAAAGAAGAGCGTAGCTCGACCAGATATTAAGGAAACGACTAGGAAAACTGCTGAGACCACTCTAGTGCATGAAACGGAAAGCAATGACAAGAATTTTCGGAAAGATTGGCCAGATTGAAGGCATCGACAGTATATCAACAGCGCGGTACTAAGTGCTTCTTCGAATTGGATGACAAGATGACACGCCGATACATCCACCAAGCACACGTGAATAACGGGCACGTGAGCATAAAACTGGTATGCCGATGGACAGCTATCAAGCAGTCTAGGGGAAATGCACAACAGGAAAGTATTCTGCGACAACATAGACATGCCTCGACTGCCCAGCCGTCCCGCCCTGACCCCGTCTGTCCACAGCTCGACTTCTCCCCCCGGGTTACAGCCAATATCGGGATACCGCCGCCAGCAGCGGTCAGAGAAACAACAGCCGACGAGCAATTACACACCGCCGGTCGACCACCCCGGAACGGGGCGCAGTCCCGGACAAAAACACTGGATACGAACCGGATACGGGGAGGATAGACGTCACAAACGCAGAATCACATCCTCCCAGATAAAAGAAAAAAACAGGATAAAGACCACAGGCATACAAATACGCGCCATCGAGACATAGGATATGGACCGGACAACTGCAGGGACGCGGTGCAAACGATGAAAAAAGGAGCTAACGTTCTCGTCGACGCAAGGGCACGGAACAGACGATAAAATACGAGTCCAAAGTCGAACCGGTCCGGATCATAGCATCGCGGGGGACACGCCAAAGTCTATACCGAAGGGAGACAGAAAAAAGCTTGTGCTTATAAACACGCTGCTAATTGACCAACATACATTTACAGGTGTCGACAAGATCCACAAACAAACCTATACCAGTCTGTGTAAGGCCTACGGTATTCTGTCCTATGCTTCAACGTAGTCAATCAGTATATTTACATCACAGCACAGTCAGTACAACAGAGAGCCGGTACGCGATACGTGGCTGCAAAGTTGAGGTCATATCACTGTCATATCACATTTCCCGTCGATGCGGTTCGTATGCCACCAGCCGTAACCACATACCTGGACTACGCAGTAGGCCAGCTGCGGGTGGTAGACCGAGAGTGACTTGACCTTGTGCAGCGGCATCAGCACCTTCAGCAGGAACGACTTGTGCTCCTCCTTCAGCGGCAGCGCGAAGCCGTTGATGATGCTGCCCAGGATCTCCAGCAGTTCGGCCACGCCGTTATGGTGCTCCGTTTCATATATAAACCTGGGCAGAGGCACAAGACAAGTCACAAGGGTGATGATGACGACCGGTTCCATACCCTCCCACGAACAACCCATCATCAGCCGACGCATCCTCTCTGTCCCAGCACGACAGTAACCCTGTCTTATCATCACTATCCTCGACCCAGCCCCTGTCGTAAGAGTCAGTCCCTGGGGTCAGCAGCGATCTACCACACTATACAGGTCCACAGGGAGCGACCGACGAGACGGCACCAATCGGGACTATACGAGCTGTCATCGACCGTCACCGACTGTCACTGACCGTCACCGACCGTCAACGAACGTCATCGACCGTCACCGACCGTCACCGCCACTCGACCGGTCGATGACAAGCCGTCATCATCTCCAGTGAACGGCAGCCGTCCTGCCCGCCCGGCCGACGGACAGATAGCTCGTCGATCTCGCGACTGAGTCGGCCCGGTCGATGGGGAGACACTCCTCGAGTGAAGAAGGGTGGGTGGGGCGGACAGGGACGAATGAGACCGGTTTGGAGACGGGTAGACGGTTCAAATGGACCGGAGAGCCGACAGGATGGACTGAGAACGAGATGGAAAAATAAGACTGGGGGATCAGCAGGAGAAGGGAAAGACGGAGACCTGAGGTTAGGGAAGAAATGAAGAGGAAAACAACCAGGGGACAAAATGGCATCGATATAAAAAACGGTTGTTTCATGACGGTTAGAAGCGAGTTGACAGCTACGGTACGATGAGCCCACACAAGATCATTGATATTTTGGCAACAAACAGGCTACGAGTACATATCAATCAACCGATCTACATGCTGACTAACCGATACACTCACCCATACATAACATGATTCATGTTATCTATGACTCACCTATAGAATATGTTGTTAATCTGTTTACGGATGTAGGCGCGCAGGCCCAGAAACTTTCCGTAGATGCGATGTAGTGTCGTCTTCAGGAAGTCCCTCTCTCGGGGGTCCTCCGAATCGAACGAGTCCAGCAGCTGTAAGACGAACACACGGCGCGACCGTCACGCTGGGGACCGTCGCGACCGGCCGCTGATGGCTCTCGTCACGCCACGTATACGCGAAATCGGGGCTCCTTTCGGGCCTAATGTGGCAGAACAGGGTATGACACACATGATGGGGGACAATGGATAACAGTAGACCGGTGGTCGAGAGGCGCCAGGGACGGGGCGGAATCCGTCACGCGTCATCAGTGACTAGTAGTCATTAGATGCTACAGACAGCCGTCATCAGCCGCCATCAGCCGGCTCCGACAGGCGTCATCCGCCGCCCGCGACAGCCGTCATCCACCAGTCCCCGACCGCCGTCCGTCGCCGTTGCAGCCTTGAGCAGCCGGCGGCGGGCGGGGTCGATATGACTGCTATCCAGCGCTGTTCAGGACCCACGGCCCGGCGCCCGGCTGGCAGCCGGTCGGCCTCACAACCGTGCCGCTTCGATCGGACAAATCGGGCAAGCGGCCGCCGCCTCCACCGTCCGCCACCGTAGCCACGTCAGCCACTCCTAACCCGTTGTGGCCGGCCCGATTTTTGTTTATGCCGTCGGCCCAGCACCGCCGTGAAACCAGCCGCGTGGCCGGCGCGGCGTCCACGCCATTGTCCACGATACGGCCGGCCGCGCCGGCTAAAACGGAGTGTTTTTCGGTTGCGCCGCCATTGCGCTGTCAATTTGGATCGCAACGGACAATGATCTACAAGTGGCAACCGGTTGGCATCAACTGCTCTGGGCAGTCCGCGGCGCCGCCGTACGCCGTTTTCCTTCAGTTAATGTTCGTTTTCAGTCGCGGTGCGACGTCCGGTGCCAGCATTAGTAACGGTTCGTCACGGAACAGACGGTGTGGGGTGGTGACGTCACGAACAGTGCAGGGTCTGATGGGGGATGGGATGGGATGAATGGTGAATGACTGTGACGGATTCATCCGGCACAATGCAGCTTGCTATGTTGCAACCTTACCCCACCCTGGTAACCATCCACATAATTTAATCCTTCGCCCGCAAAGGTAAAGGGCCTGAAGAGTTACATCGCTCTATGAGCAGTGTGCAGTTGCACATCACCCCAGTCGCCGAGCCGGTTGGAACGAACTCAACTACGACCACAAACACAATGAAACCCAGTCTCACCTGCAGTACAAACTTCTGATCAATGTAGCGTTTGGCCACATTGGGCTGGAAGTCAACCGACTCGAGGAAGCGCAGCAGGAACTCGTAGACGAGTTGCAGGTGGGGCCAGGCGGCCTCCAGGGTGGGTTCGTCCTCCTCCGGGTCAAACTCGGCGCCCGAGGGGTTGGAGGACGGCGGCAGCGTGCGAAACAGGTTCACAGACACCTGGCGGCACACGGGACGGCGATATAGCGGTCAGACGGGTCGGGCGAGACATACAGTTTGTACGGATTACTGATTGATGAGTATTGATCGTTCATACGGGGTGGGTGTACGGGTTATACCAGCTTTCCAGAAGCAATTAGCGACTGCGAGTATCACCACGATCTAAACGAAACACAGCTTACAAATGCGATCTAAGATATGGCTTCACAGTAGACCAGTGAAAAGGTGATTCGGGTGAATGATTCAGTCGTATTTCGGCAATGAACAGGGACCGAGGTATTACCTATGTTCCGGCAGCTACGACACAGGCAAGTAGACGTGTTTCATCGTGACCAAACACAGACGACATGCAAACGGCTCCTATTGTGTTGACTTAGCCAGTTCGCTTACGACACCACGGGTTAATCCAAGCATGATATGATGAGGCGAGGCTAAGGCGAGGTTGTTTTCGCTACGACTGTGAACTTGTTTGGACTAGCAAATCGACGCAATCAGGTTATCACCATATCACCTATCCATACAGGAAGGAAACTCATGCGGTACAAAGATAGCAGCTTGCCAGCGCAGCCCGGCCAGTGGGCGGGCGGGCAGACCTGAACGGTCGCCCGTGCTCGTACCAAGAATCTTGGCTCGTACCGGGGTCTATACTCGGTCGTACGCCAGCCATTCAGCCCGCAATATTGACGCCATTGCCGACGCTACCGCCCCAGGGGAGCCCGAATAAGCAAATCGCCGCCAGGCATGCATTTTACCAGGCGCGAGCACAGGCACTGGGGTGAGCCGATATCACTTTAGAAGGGACTGGAGCGGCAGGCGACGTTGCGTGAATACCACAGTGCCTTTGTGGCAAAGTTGCGCTGTTAGCAGCCAGCCTTTTCCCGTCGGTTTCGAGTGTAATATAGGGCGGCGCAGTCGGTGACTGGAGCGGACTCCCCCACCCCAACACCACACCGGCTGGGTACGACCGGGTACGACCCTGGTAGTACGGCAGTACGGGCGGGGGCAGAGCTGCCAATTAGCGTCCCACCCCCGCTCGGCTCGCGCCGGCTGGGTGCGGTCGGCCTCGCACGGACCGGCGCCCCACCCGGGCTCGGCTCAGAGGCTGATCCACACCGGAGCGGCTCAGCGGTTACAATCCCGACCCGGGCTGGCTCTGACAATCGATATGAGGGCGGCGGGCGAGGATTGCCGCTGTGGCGCCGGCCGGGCCGGCCTCTCCGCCCGACCAGCTCAGCGCTACGTGTGTCAGCCGCGCTGATGTCGGCAGGGTCACCGCCGCTCGCGTGCCGCTCTGTGACAGACGGCTCCGTCCGCCGGGTCTCGGGTCGCCTCCTCGCCAGTCTGTGATACCGCCGGCGGCATTGATCAGCGCTGCCGGCGGCGGGTGGGGGCGGCGATCCGGGCCCGCCGAGCCGCCGCTGACGTCACGCCGGCCACCCGGCGATCGACGCTCCAAGACGGGCCTCCGCCGCCGCCGTCGGCACCCAAAAGTATCTCCCGGGCGGACCCTGGCCGCCGCAGCCGCAGAGATAGGTCACGTCCGACCACCACGACCAAAAATGATGGATGAGGCTCTGGCCGCGAGGACTCCAGCGCTCCAAATGTGACACTGAGGGCACGCACACCAAAAATAGCGGTTGTGTCTGGTGGAGCGAGTTACGCAGTTTCACCCTCATCCAGTCCGCCAACAACTTCCTCGGACCACCCGAAACAACTTTACCAAGTACACATTAGCTGAGACTCTCCAATCAGTGTGATTGAGTTCCCCAGCTCAGTGCATTATCCAATAGCAGAGCTGGGAACGCAGACAACCTGGCAGCGATAGGCGCATCGACAGGAGCGATAGACAGGTCGCAAAGGGCAGTGGCACTGCACACATGAACCCAGCGTCAGATTCCCGTCAAAGGCACGGCATTTAGCACGGCCGGCTGTTCCCCTGACCCCCCCCCCCCCCCCCCTCCCTCCCCTTTCCCCTCTCCCTGATTAGCGGACCCTCTGTTCTAGCCATAAGCCAGCAGAGCCCCGTCGCTCACTCACAGCTCTCCCCCCCCCACGCTAGAAGCTCATCTCTCGGGAGCTGCTCTATCCGACAGAGCAGATACGGCATTAGCTGATTGCCGGAATGCAAATCAGACTGAAAGCAGTTGACACACGCCTTTGACGTCAGCTCAGAGGCGACACTTCGGTGCTCCAATCTTCACGTTATCTACCTTTGAAGGCGACAGATCTAACGCCAGCGATTCGACGTACCGTTAAATCTGTTCACCAGGGTTTTCATACATTGTCTCTGCGATGTCCTAATATGGCAACAGCGCGTAACTATCTATGGCTTCAGGTGAGAGCTGGATGCCACCATAGGCCAAACACAGCACACGGCTCAGCTCGTAGGCAAAATCGAGAAGAGACGAAGGCATGAGGTAAATGTGACAGTGATCCGACACGAATATGTACGCAAAAAGACGTTTGTCGGAATAAGGTCGATATAATTTCAGGCAAAGTGAGGAAAATGAAAGGATGATAATGACAAACTTATAATTAAAAACGCTGAGAGAGATGAAGCAAATTTCGCAGTTCGCGACCCGCATTCACCGGGAGATGCAGAGCACAAACAGCGGAGAGCGGCGGTGATCGTTTGGTCGGGTGGTCCCACTCACCATCTGCACCACCTCCGGGTAGATGTTCTCCGTGATGACTCCGCGCTGTGAGGACACGTGCTCGATCATCTCCTGCAGCGCCAGCCGCTTCACCTCCTTCCATTTGAGGTCGGACAGCGGGTCCGAGATGAAGTCGAACAGCACGCAGCACTGGCGGATCTTCTGGATGAAGAGCTCCTCCCGTTCGCTGGCGGCCACCTCTGTAATACAGGGATACTGGCGTTAAAACTGTGCATGCAGAGCGATATTACGGCATCAGGACACAATCTCTGCAGGACGTCAAGTCGATATTTTGGGTATATGACACATCCAAACGTGCAAACATTATACACCATCCATATACAAATAATCAATGAGTGCCTAACTGCAAACATGTTTTGGATTACACGCTAAAGATGATCTAAACTGTCTCAAGTTTTAACACTTCTATTCGCACACATAATTCAGGACGTTAGTCATTACGTGTCTGTATGCTACACAAAATGTCAACAAAAGTTCACAGCGAATTTCCCGAGTGGACGGCACGAGTTCCACCACCGGGGGAAATCATACAGACTGGTATCGCTGTCCAGACAATCGGTCACAATCCCACCATCTGGTGTGACACCCGACCGGTGCCGTCAGACAGCTCTCCACACCTGTCAGCCGAACCTATATGGAACGACAACTAGTGAAACCTACCAACATATACCGACATGACTAAAAGCGGAGCCACTATGCTCGTGACCTTGAGTGCGCACACCACCTGACATGACCCGCACAAGCGCCGGGCCATTCCACATCGGCTGTCACTGACGCATTACCGCTATCAACTGATAACGATTAGAGCACGGGAGGATATTCAGTCCCGATTGCAAATGCCCGCAATTTACGAGGCACATGCTGATTGTATGCTTACACCAAAACGATTAAGAACATCTATAAACTCTATATAACCTCAATTGAAATGATACACAAATCCCAGCCAACCTTTTAGCACACAGTCACAGGTACCGCGGGCCTCAATAAATATCAGGGCAGCCGTAAACCGTCGTGTGACGGAGCCTGTGAGCTGTACGGGCGGCGGGCGGGCGTATAGGCGAGCAAGGTCGTACGTATATCGGCTCAATATCGTCGGGCCGGCCCGGACCTGTAGTAATACGACCGACGACCTTCACTGGGTCGCTGGCGTGGGCCGTGACGGAGCAGCGTCGCCGAGCTCGTAACGGAGCGGCATTACGACGGCCCCAGTCGGGTCATCCCGCCACTACATCTCAGCTCGACCCGCCGCGAGCAGCGTGTATTGATAGCTCACAGACAGGCCGCCCGTCAGCCTGCGGCCCGCCTCAGTGCTGGCCACGGTCGGTCAACACACACGCTGTGTAGTGACAGCCGCGCCGCACAGATCAATGGTAACTCTGGCATGATTATCCCAGATCAATGCGAAGATACTCTCCAGATCAGCTTCCAGAAAATCCTTATATCAGTGGTTTTCTAATAATATCGTCTCAAAAAGAAAAGAATAGGCGCCGTGTCAATTCCAGCCTGCCAAGGGGATGTCCTAATCAGACGTTTGTGTGTTTCAAGCGCAACATAAGAACTCCTACTGGCTATCCCGTCTTTTCATTGCTTCGAACTAATCTCATCACTTTGAGGAGACAAGCCGGGGCCGAATCAGAATCGGTTCAGTATAGATTAGTTTAACAAGACAACATGAAAGACGACAAAAATAATTAATAAAATAAAAGCTCATTGAAGTGCCCAGTGCCCATGAAACATTTTAGGAGCAAGGGGCAACGACTCGTGGTGTGTTTCATATGGAATGTGGATGCAAAACACCATCGATTGTCACAGGAATCGAACCGGGAAGAGAAACCGATGGCATCGATGGCATCAACCATGATAATTGATGACCGATACGGGACTCGGGAGTAAATGGCACATGACCCACACTGGCGGTCCCAGGGGGGGGGGGGCACGGGGGCCATGGCCCCCCTTTGGTGCTGAAAGGTGGGGCCATACTATCTTTTGGCCCCACCTTTCAGATCGAACAAAAGTCCTAGAAAGCTTTTTGTATGTTTCATTTTCTTTCTTGCGCCATCAAAGGACGTAAATTTCACTCATGGAGTGGGCTCAGTTTCGCATTCTGTCAATTTGGCGGTCAGCGTCGCTGACACCGATTCACGAGTATGGCCGGATCTTATATGGAATATCAGCGTGGGTTTACTTGAGGCTCTCGTAGGCCCAGCAATGGCTGGCATGAGACCCTCTTCAGCAGTGCCGGGTGGGCCCTGCCAAATGAGCGTGGCTCTTCGACATGCTAAAGTAAGACCTCATGGGTTGATGCTGTGCACCTCAGAAGCCCAGTGGTGACGCCGTATGCTGGCTTGGTTTCTTAAGGATTAGCGTGGGACCTCCGGGGCCTGCATAGAGTTTGCATGAGCTAGTAGGTATGCAATCTCAGAGGCCTGTGTGTAATGTGTACACAGTGGCGGTCGCGGGGGGGGGGGGGGACATCAGGGCCATGCCCCCCAAAGGCCAATAAAGGGGGCTATCATATCATTTGCCCCCCTCAAACAACCGATGGGCCCCCATAGGTGTATGGGGCCCTGGCCCTTATTCGATCGTCACGAGGCCTAAAAAAAAACACTCCCAGCTATCAATATAGCTCCCACACCGGTCTTTGAGTGTCCTACACTGACCTCTGAGGGAACTTCAGTGGCGGTCAAGCGCCCATGTTGGCCGCTTAGAGCCCACATCGACCTCTGAAGCCCCACATCTGGCCTATGATGGCCCCTAACCGTCCTCAGGGGCCCCAACCGGCGTCTGAGCGTCTCACACCGGTCTCTGGTGGCCTTATTTCTGTCTCTTGCGTCCCAAGACGAACCTTTAGGTGCCAATGAGGCCCCGCACTGGCTGCTAAAGACCTGATGCCGGCCTCTAAGGGCCTGCATTGGCCTCTGAGGAAGGCCCATCTTGGCCTTTGAGGGCCCTCTGCTAGCCTCTGGGGTCCAACGACGGCTCATGCCGGTCTTTTAGAGCCCCACGCTGACCTCTGAGGGCCCCATGTTGGCCTGTAATGAGTAAGGACCCACATTAGCCTCTGAGAGCCCAACTCGGTATCTGATGGTCTCAAACTACTGGCCTTTGCAGTTTGCAGGCCCTGTACTGGTCTCTGAGGGCCTTAAACTGTCCTCTAGGTGAAAACATACATATGCATGGGCTTCTGAAGCTCAGAGGGCTTACGCAGATTCCTGCACAGCCTTACGTTGGTCCTGATCGAGATCACTTTACGTCTTGATGGTCCCGCGTAGATTCCCTCATATTTCGACGTCAGGACCCCATGAGCCGTTGTGGGTCCTGGGGCTGGCAGAGACTGATGAAGTCCTCAGGGCTCAGGGCCAGTCTTCTTAGCATGAGGACTAGGCATTTGAGTGAGCCCCAATAGAGCCGTTGCGAAGCCCACAGGAGTCGCGCGCGGCCCTCAGATGCCAATTTTGAAAGCCAGGAACCTTTGGTCACCAGAGGTCGGTGTACCTAGCTTCTCTCTCCCGCCGCCACACAACTACTCGTATATGGATAAATGTCATAGTCTGAAAATGCTCTCTGGGTTTCACATGCTTGTTCAAAGCAAGAGGTAGGTATCTGTACTTTTCCGAATTGTTTTATACTGGTAAGGTAAGGTCATGAATCCGCGTGCCCGACTTTCCAGTATATGCTACACCGATCCGTCGCCATGGTGCAGTGGCCCGACCGGTGGAAACACCGTGGGACGAGAAATGGTAGGTACTGGTGATTTTGCCTTAAATTGAGCTTAAAGATTCCACGCAAGAACGAGATGAATGAAGCATAAGTATGGCCAACTGCGCGGCGCCTCGCGGGCGTAAAAAATGAGCCGATCACCCTCCGGTGACGGATAAATGTTATGTCCCGCGAGTGTGAGTTTGGCCCCCCCTTTTGCTAGCGGCTGCGACCGCCAGTGATGACCCAAATATTGCATCAACTAAAGAATAATCAAATCGATGATACATGCGATGCAGCCCAGTGAACAGCGATAAAACCAGCATTGTTCACCGTCCCAGCCCTGGTCGTGGACTGGCCGTCTCCGGGCCGGGTGATGTAGGATAGGGGTTCAGTCGGCTACCCCTCCCCCTCCATCGCTCTCTCGGCCCGCCGGGGGCGGCAGCTGGCGCCGACAGCCGCTACCGCCGCTCGGACCGGGACGTCCCGTGAGCCCAGTAATGACCTCACACCAGCCGGCGGAAAGGTCACGGCGGCGCGGCCCGGCCACCGACACACAATCTCCCTCCAAACGACCGTACCCGCGGCACAGAGAGATAAAGAGCAGTTCACGCCGGCGACATAAGGAGACGCGGTCCGTCCGCCTCTGCATCCGCGCGAGACAGACGATCCTCGTCCTCACCCGGCCCAGGCTGACGGCTCCCTCCATCCTCCCTGCTTCCGCGGCGGTAGCTGTCCGAGTAGATAAGCGACCCAGAGAATGTCTAACACCTGACGCAACCGAAAATATGAGGAACGCTCGCATCGACCCCGACGCAGCCGAAAATATAAGAATTAAGAAACGCCCATACCAACCTTATGGACCACATCAGCCTAAAGTTTCCAAAGTGACTAAAAGGTGCGCCTGGGGAAATGCTAATAACCATTGGAAGTCCCATCTCTCCAATCGGTCCATTCAATGAAACGCATCAATTCTCAAGAAAGCTTTGAACAATAATGGCATTCCACGAAATGAAAACTGGGCACTGGGCAGCCGATCCGGATTCCATATCGTAAAATAATTAAAATAAATGCAAAGCGCACTCGGATATTAAAATCCACTATTCAGACCCGAATCAGGATCGCTCGACCAAACTATATCAGATATCGGTTCGGACCAATGCACAGTGGGGATTTTTCCGATCTAGCACCTATTTATTCGTAGAGGGCAAACCATAGGTAGAATTGTAGCCAGATTGTGCACAGATGTTGGCTGGTGTGTCCTGGTGAGAATTTTACCTGTAAATGTGCATAATCAACATAGTATAGGGGGTTCAATTGGACCCCCCGCTCAGCCGTTTGGCCCCTGATCAAGCTAGAGCTTCGCGGAAAAGTCAAGCGTGCTGCCTATGACGAAATTAGGCCGAATATATCCAATATCAAAGTCCAAGGTCATAAGCTGACTTTCCAAGTCAGTTTAATGACCCAACTAAAGTTGGGA